TGTGCGGTGGGATTGCGGGCGGTTTCAATTTCCTTTTTGTGTATTTTCCCCCAAAAGGATCTTACATGACGTTTAGTGGTTCTAATTGTGTAAGCGATCTCCACGCCCCCGTACCCGCCCGCCCCGCCCCAGACCACGAGTCGCAGGCTCTACCCACTGAACGAGCCAGCCAGGCACCCTTACAATTAAAAATAAGCTTTATAAAAAACTGTCTTTAATGTTTATTTATTTTTGAGAGACAGAGACAGATCATGCGCAGGGGAGGGGCAGAGAGAGAGAGAGAGAGAGAGAGAGAGAGAGAGAGAGAGAATCTGAAGCAGGCTCCAGGCTCTGTGCTGTCAGCTTGAACCCACCAGCCACCAGATCACGACCTGAACTGAAGTCAGGTGCTTAGCCGACTGAGCCGCCCAGGCGCCCCCGAAAAGAAGTTTTTAAAGTTTATAAAGTGACATGAAATTTCAAGTGTCGAGTGTTCTGTCGGTGTCGTGTGGTCCTCCTCTGGCAATCGTGAGGACGGACATAAAACAACTGTTTGTCAAATCCTGCTCCCATCTCCTGTCAAAACAGACCCTAAATCGCACCACTCCTCTCCCTCTCGTTGCTAGCACCAAGTGGATGCCACCATCTTTCCTTGAATTCCTTCAAGTGCTTCCTCACTCATTGTCACTATATTTTGTACACTACAGCCTGTTCTCCACATAGCAGAATTGCCTCTTTTTTTAAATTATTTTTGAGACAGACTGTGTGTGGGGGTGGTGCCGAGAGAGAGGGGGACAGAGAATATGAAGCAGGGTCCATGCTGAGAGCAAAGAGTCCAATACGGAGTTCAAACCCATGAACCACAAGATCATGACCTGAGGCAAATTTGGACTGGACTCTCAACCACCTGAGCCACCCAGGTGCCCAATGCCTCTTAATTTTTTCATGTTTATTTATTAATTTTTTGAAGAATTTTTAATGTTTTATTTATTTCTGAGAGAGAGACAGTGTGAGCAGGGGAGGGGCAGAGAGAGAGGGGGAGACACAGAATCTGAAGCAGGCTCCAGGCTCTGAGCTGTCAGCACAGAGCCTGACCCAGGGCTCGAACACACGAACCACGAAATCATGACCTGAGCCAAAGTCAGGCGCTTAACCAACTGAGCCACCCAGGCGCCCCTCTTGATTTTTGATATAAATCACGGAACATCACCTCAGTGTTTAAAATCCTAAAATGACCTCCCATTGCCCTTGAAATCATATCCAAACTCCTTGACGTAGCTTATAAAACTCTGTGTCGCTGCCTTCCAGCTGCCCATCCTGCACCCTCAGCTGTCCGCCGCCCGCGGTGCCTTCTCTTCTCTGCGGACCAAGGGTGGCTTGGCCCTACCACTTTGCATTTAGTCTCTATTTGGAAGACTCTGTCCACAAACTTTCCCATAGCTGGCTCCTCCCTGTCATCAAGATCATGGCTCCCATGTCACCTTTGAAAGGCCTTCTGGGTCACCAGTCTAACACCCTGCCCCCTGGCACCACTCCTCACATTTGCCCACGATAGTCTGCTGCATAGAATTTTTCATTCTGTGACATGATCATCTGGTTTTGTTTACTTCTATATTGGTCATACATCATCTCTGGTACCTTTGTTGTTGTTGTTCAGGGCACTTTCTTTAGTAGGTGGTTTGTCTGTTGAATGAAAGAGAGTAAGTACAAAAGTCATCACTGTCTGGATCCTGCAATCCCTCCTGTAGGCAGTTACTTCACAAATATGTAACAATGTGTGCACGAAGTGACTCTATGTAACAGAAGTGGACATGAAAAACTATGGGGCACAATGTACGGGTGCCTCAGCAGGAAATTAGTAAACTCAGTGGTGGTGCATTCAGGCAGTCACCCCAATCAGCAGCGGAAAAAAAAAAAAAAAGGAAAATCCCTAATGAAAAATGAAAGGCTTTCTAGGACATTTTGTCATATTAAAAAAGAAAAAACACATACAGCAAAATGCAAAGGATTCTCTCGCTCTGTCTCAGACACACATGTTTATTAGGAAAAAAAAAAAAAACAGGAAGGAGAAACCTAAAACTATTGAAAATAGTGACTATTTCCAGATAGGCATGGGATCTCTTGGATCATACCGTTTTGTATAGTTTTGACTTTGAACGTTAAATAGTTCCCATGTTCAAAAGTACATTTGAAAGAGCTAAAAAAAAAACCCCAAATGCAAAAACTGAATAGAAACAAAAGCCAATGAAAACAAACACAACACATGAGTCAAATGATAACAAAACCACACAGAAAATTCAGGTGGTTTTATCTCCGCACTCTGCTTGTGTAGCCCTTCGGGGATATATTCTAAGGAGAGAAGAATTGACCTTACTCTTCGTATTTTTGCTGTCAGCAAGGGGAGTCATGAGGTCACAGTGAGGCCATTTTGGGTGTCCTAAGATAGACTCTGTGGTGGGGGCGCCTGGGTGGCTCAGTTGGTTGAGCGTCCGGCTTCGGGTCAGGTCATGATCTCACGGTTCGTGGGTTCGAGCCCCGCGTCAGGCTCTGTGCTGACAGCTAGCTCAGAGGCTGGAGCCTGCTTCAGATTCTGTATCTCCCTCTCTCTCTGACCCTCCCCTGCTCACGCTGTCTCTCTCTCTCAAAAATAAATAAAAACATAAAAAAAAAAAAAAAGACATTGTGGTGGAGCAAATGAGTGAATCTGTCGGCGGCATCCGGAACCGGAATTCTCACTGAGGAATAATGACGAGCGGTGAGAGGACCCTGATGTGGGATTGCGGTAGGAGCTTAAACATAAATTTCCTAGTTGTGTCTGGTTAGAGGGTCTAGAAGCACTGACCCTCCAGTGGCATTCGACACAGCCTACACCCAAGCCTTGGTGTCTCAATGTCGTTCTCCACTGAAAGGAACCAGAGCTTCCTGGAGTAATGGGCGATTCTGGAGCCGTGGCAGGAAAAATACGCGTCGAGCCTGGAGCGCTTGAGGAGGTGCCTGCAGAACAAAAGCACGGGGCGTGTCAAAGGGACTGGGAGCCCACCGGAAAGCAGCTCAGCTCCCAGGGCTGGACCATCCGAAAGGAAATCCCGGAAGGGCGGGGCCCCTGGGGGGCTCAGTCGGTTGAGCTTCCGACTTGGGCTCAGGTCATGACCTCACAGTTCGTGGGTTCGAGCCCCACATCAGGCTCTGTGCTGACAGCTCAGAACCTGGAGCCTGTCTTCGAATTCTGTCTCCCTCTTTCTGGCCCTACCCTGCTCACGCTCTCTCTTTCTCTCTCTCTCTCTCTGTCTCTCTCTCTCTCAGAAAGAAGTAAAACATAAAAAAAAGAAATTCAAAAGGGCTCGGGGCGAGGGGTGTGGCTGGGAAGGCGCCGGAACGTGCTGGAGGGCCGACCCGGAGTGGGGGATGCGTGTGTGGTACTTGACTGATCCGTCGAGCTGCACGCTGACGAGTACTGCGTGTTACTGCACGCGCGCGATAGTCCCATAAGTCACCCCCAAAACACTCCTTTAGGGTTCTGAGTTGTTGGGATAAAACCCCCCAGTGCATCCACCACGGCACAGTCGGTCAGGCGAGGGTCACCTTGTCCGGTAAAACCGTTACGACTGCCGGGGATGAAGACAGGCGCACGGTCTCGAGGTACTTATTACCGCAGAGCCCTGGTGCTTTAGGACAGGAATATGCAGCTTCGTGAGGGAGACGTGTGGCAGCCGCAGCCTTGACCGTGTGAGCAAACCGAGCCTCCCCGGTGATGGCACAACCGACCCGACGGGGGACGGGGGAAGGACAAAGCACCCGGTCGTGGCAGTTAAGGTACATCTAACGAGGAAGGAGTCAGGCAAATCCAGACTCTGGGACCTTCTACAAGACAACTGCTGTGGGCTCTTCCAGAAGCGCCGTTGCCTGATGGCCTGTGGAGAAGGGAGAGCTCTGAGAGGCAAAGGCGCCTCCCGCTTCCCGTTGGTAAGTCCGGCTGAGCGCTAGGGAGGCAGGCTGTGGCGACACAGCTGAAGTAAGCGCCCTGAGGGGAGGGGAGGCGCCGTGTCGCCAGCCTGGGGGACGGGAACGGATGGGGGGTGTGCAGGGGGGCCAGGGGCTCTCGGCCACTCCAGCGCCCAGGAGACAAGGGCAGGAGTGAAGAACGGAAATGGGAATGAGGGCGGCGAGGTCCCTTAGAGGGTGCACCAGAGAGGGAGGGAGGAGGGTCTGGGAATGGGGCACTGGAGCCCCCGCATTAAGAGGCAGGGCGCACGGAGGGGGAAGAAGCAGCGAGGGAGCTGGAGAAGGAGGGAGGCCCCGCGAGGGAGCCCCGAGGGGGGCTGGGGCGGCCGTGTCCCCTGCCGGCTTTGCGGGGGCGGACGTCTCAGGCCGCAGCGGTCACGGCGGCTCCTGGGAGCGCCTGGCTGGGCCGCGCGGCCCTTGAACCTACCGGAGCTGGCCAGGCCCGGTTCTGGGGGGCCCGAGGGTGCCGGCGAACTGTGGGGCCAGCCCAGTTTGCTTGGCTGTCTCCAGGTCAGTGAGGCCGGCCCCAAAGCAAATGCCACCCCGCCCACGTGGCCGCGGGAACCGGTGCCGCGGGCAGCTCACCGTGCCCAGTCTGCGAGGCCCCTTCACTCATCCTGCCCTTTCCTGGGATCACTGTGAGAACACCAGGGCCTGCAGAGGTGCACCATGCCCCCGGGGAGAAGGGACTGTCCCAGGGCAGGCAGTGGGTCTCAGGGATCCGCAGCGGCGGGATCACAAAGGGGAGCAGGCAGGTCGGCACCCACCTCCCCAGGGGCCCCCGTGGCTCCGGGGGGGCGCAGTACACGGGGCCACCCATACACTCCGGGGGCAAAGGCGGAGCACCCGGCCCTTCTGTCTTCCCTCCCTCGCCTGCCCATCGCTGCCCACTCCTGTAGACGAGTTTCCAGAACGTGCGGTCACTGCCACCACGTTCTCCTCTCGCCACGCTGCAGCTGCTTCTGGCTTCCTACATCACCGGCGACCTTTTTGTTACCAACGCCTCTTCGCTGTCCCGGACATGCCCTCCTCCTTTCTGGAAGGGCCTTCTTGGCTTCTCATACCGAGCTTTCCCTGTGGCGTAGTGTCGGGACGTTCCTCGGCCTCTTCCGCATCTCCGGTTGGTGGAATGCCTCAAGGCCCAGTCCTCTCTCCTCTTTGCATGCTGCGCCCCCTGGGAAGCCCCCTCGTCTGTCCTCGGAGGCTCTAGGACATCCTGTCCACACCTAACTCCTGAATGTCACTACAGAAGGCCGCGCAGGGCTCGGGGTCCCAGTCAGCTCTTCCATCAGGCTCCCCCCTTACATCCTGTCTCCAGGCCCCTGCTGAGCCATGGGCCGAGTCCCCCCCCCCCCCCCCCTCCCCCCCCCCCCCCCCCCCCCCCCCCCCCCCCCCCCCCCCCCCCCCCCCCCCCCCCCCCGTGTGCAACGACCCACTGGATCGCTCCTAATCACCAGAGGGTTCTTGTCCCTCCTGAGCCAGCAGGTGACATCTGTGTCACCCCCCTGCAGGGCACAGCTGCTGCCCGAGGCCACCATTTGGCCCTAGGTTTGGATGAGCATCCCCTGCTCCCTTCAGACAGCCCCGGGATAGCGGGGGGCGGGGGGGGGGACGCCTCCCACCACCCACCCCACGCCTGGCCAAAGTAATCAGAACAGGACCTGGTTCTGACCAATAAAAGATAGCGTTTATTTGCCGGGGGCGTCAGAGAAAGCAGCTACACCGCAGGACGGGCCGGTGGCGCTCCCCGCTGGCTGTGAACAAGAGACTTGGGGGAACCACAAGCAGCCATCTGATCCCGAGGCAGCAGCGGGGATGCAGCCGCCGCTTCAGAGCGCAGGGGGCAGGCAGGAAGAGACTAGGTATTTGGTGAAACTGTTCATCTGCTGCCAATGTCCTTGGGACTTCTCAGTTTCGTAAACCAATGTTTTCTTTATCGTTTAAACCAATTTCTTTCAAGGTTAAACCAACCGCTGGAAACCGGAAAGCCGCCTGGCTAATGGAGTTCCTTTCCGATACGAGTCAGTCTCGCATTCACCTTCAACGGGATTCACAATTTCAACAACCACGTCCTGACTCAAAATAAGAGGAGAGCGTGGGTGGGCCACATGAGCTGCCAGGCCGCACGGGCGCTAAGCGGGCCCTGCGCTTCGATATGCCAACTCTCAGGCAGAGCCAGGGACCTGGCTGCTCTCCCAAGCCTTTGCCCATCGGGCCTCTTATCTTCCCAGCCTGGGGACCCAGCATGCACCCCACGAGGCCCAGGCAGGAGGGTGGCTTCCTTCTAGCCTTGACTGACCTAGGTGTCCTCCTCCAACAAGCCGGTGCCCAGATGACCTCTAGTGCCCACACGCACCAGGCGAGGTGGGAGGGTCAGTGCCACTGGCCCATGCTTCTACCCCCTTCCCGGCACCCTGAGGTTTCCTTTCAGGCAGCGAGGGGGTGCAAAGTGAAAGCCCCCATATGCATGTTTTAGGAAAGGGTCCGTTTCCACACCGTGGGTGAATGCAGGGTGCGGGGGCCCGTCCAAGGCTGAGTGACCTCGAGCCGGTCACCCGTCATCCCTAAGAGGTGAGAGATGCGCACGTCCAGGAGGAGACAGGCAGAGGGAGTACCGAAGGGCCAAGGCGCCACATCTCTGGGCCGGGCCTGGCCACTGCTCCGTCCGGGGCCTGCTTCCAGAGCGCGCGGGGCAGGGCCAGGTAAGAGGGAACGAAGTGGAGGCTTCAAGAGTGACCCTTGCCGTGCAGAGTTAACACCTAGGGACCGACGTGGCACAGGTCCCCGATTCCCCAGCCCGCGGCGCCTGAGGGGGCCGGGGGCTGGCTGTCACCAACCTCCTGCCAACACCGCGCCGGTCGGTGACGGGCAGGTGACGGGACTGGGCAGTGGGAGCCACAGCTGCGTCAGCTCTCGGGCTTGAAGGGCAGTCGCTAGAGGGTTTATTGTCAGTGGGCTGCACAAGACTGCGCCAAAGGCCGTCCGTCGAAATCCTTCAGAACAGCCCCCTTTTCCCTTTGTGCCCTGAGGCATTTCTAGAATCTGGCTGGCCTCAGACTCTGGCTCCCCCGCTTCACTGCTAGGAGCCTTGTCTTACCTTTTGGGTGAGGCGTGGGAGCAAACCCAGGCAAGAGCCAGGCGTGGGCACCCAGGTACTGGCAGGTGTGATTATTATCATGAGCCAGACTGCGACAGGAGAACACGTTTAATGCTACATGCAGCGTGTAGCCTGGCGGGCTCCTCCCCACAGAGAACTTATTTGGAGAAGCCCTTCTCCTGAGCTTCAGGTACTTCGGGGTGCAGAAAGCGGCTGGCCAAGCGCTCGATGTCATCCAGCGTCAGGCGGTTCAGGGACCTCTCGTAATCCTGGGGAGAGAAGGCCGGAGGATTCGGGGGTGCCAGTGGGGGGGTACTCTCCGACAGAGGCAGGGGATGGGGGTGGCCACCGGGAGCGGATGTCCTGGGCTACGCACTCACCCTCTGTAGTTGATCCAGGACTCTGCTGGCATCTGCGGCGCTGAAGTGACGGGCCAGGACTTTGGAGATCAGCTGCCAGGCTGGTGGGGGTGGTGGCGGGGCCTCGGCCAGTCTGCGGGCAGCGCTTTCTTCCAGTAACACTTTCTCCAGAGGTTTGACCACTAGGTTGAGCTTGGAATTGGGCCCAACGCTGTAATCGGAGAGTCTTTTCCCATCTGCCAAAGAGAGACGGATGGAGTCATTACGCCCAGCGGAGCTCTGTGGCATCTGTCCGAGGAGGGTTCGGTCACCTCCCCGAAGGCAGAGTGGCCGGCACCCCAGCCAGCACACTGCTTCTCGGGTTCTACCTAGGCACCCCGTCCCCTGAATTCCCGCGAGGCTCCCTGGGCGTCTCCTCTCCCCGGGTACCTGCCAGGGCCTTGCCCTTGAACAGCAGCCGCTGCTGGCGCACCGGGACGTTCAGCTTCTCGGAGACCAGATGTTTCAGCGTGGACACCGGCTCGTCCTCCGACACCTGGCCGGGCAGGGGGCAGGGGCTGAGTCCGCGGCCCTCGCCGACGGCGGCGCTGCCGGCCGCCCCCCACCCCAATCCCGTCCCCGCCCGCGGCCTGGCCCGCCCCTGCGCTCAGAGGGTGACGAGCGCGCGAACCGGCACGCCGCCGGGGGCCCGCGACGCTACCTGCAGGCTGCACTCACGGCCCTGGAGCGCTTTCACCGTCAGCTGCATGGCGGCCGCGGCGGCGTCCACTGCGGCCGGCGCGCGCCCCACCGCCCCCCGCTGCGCGCCGCCGCCCCGGGCGCGCGCCGGAACCGCCCGCCGCCACCGGAAGCAGCGCGAGGGGCGTGCCCCGGCCCCGCCCCGCCCCGCGCGCCAGGGCCCGGCCCGGCCCCGGCCCGCCCTTGCCGCCGCAGGAGTCACCTTGGCGTCCCGCCTCGCGAACGCCCGGGGCCCGACGGATTCGCCCGCCACGGGAGGGAGGAGGAGCGAGTGGGGCCAGGTCGGCCACGTCGGGTAGCCGGGGTTTGGGAGGAGGGAGGGCCGCCCCCGGCCGACTTGTCGGGGCAAGTTAGCGCGCGCCCCGAGTCTCCCTCTCGGGAGTCCGCGTAGTGGCCCAGGCCCGCCAAGCTGGCCGGCCTTCTGCCTCCTCTTTTCTAAGTCTGGCTGCAGAAAATCAACTGAGCTTGGGAGCTGGCCGGGCAGCCCGGCCTCTGCCCTCATTCTCCCACGCTCATTCTAGAACGGTAGGGCCCACCTCTCCCAGAGGGGATGCGTGGGAAAGGAGGGTTGAGACAAAGTCTGTGCAGAGGTCACCACTGTCACCCATGCCAGCCCTCCACCCTGGCCCACATCTACCCAGCCACACACCCTTCCTACCCCACCCCCCTAGGCCCCAAAGGTCAAAGACTGGAAGGCACCCAAGCTTGCTTCTCTCTTTTATTGAAATATATTTTCTGAGCAGTGCCCACCTACCTAACAGCATGGCCTCTTTGGCACTGAAAGCTGGAGAATAAAAAACCAGTAAGAAAAATAAGCCTGGATTGTTTTCTGAGTGCATAGTGCATGAGAGCCGAAGGCCTTTGGTACACAAGAGCTGAGGGGACGTGGCTGGAGGCCGGGGGTGAGGGATGGTGAGAGCTGGACCCAGGGGCCTCAGGGGACTGGGCACAGGCTGCTATAGATGAAGTGGCCGACGACCAAGGCCAGCATCTCCGAGGTGCCACTCAGCGCTACAATGAAGGGGGCCTGGGAGGCGTAGTCGGCTTGGAGGCGACGGAGGGACAGCTGCAGCATGGCCAAGGCCAGCAGGCTGTTCTGGACCCCTACCTCGATGCTGACCGTCCGCCGCTGTGCCGCCGGCAGCTTCAGGCACATGGCCAGGCAGTAGCCCACCAGGAGGCCGACCGGGGGCACCGTGAGGCCCACCAGCACGATGGGTAGCCTGACGCCCGCCAGGATGAAGACCCCCATGCGATAGGCCAGGAAGAGGCCGCCCAGGAGCAGCACAAAGCTGAAAGGCTTGATGACCTGCAGCAGCAGCTGGGAGAACTTGGGCAGCTTGGATCTGATCACCACGCCTGCTGCTATGGGGATGGCGATGAACAGCAAGGTCCCCAGGATCTTGGAGATGGGCACGTGGAGTGTTTCATGGACACTGAGCAGGTGGCTGTAGACGGCGGAGGACAATGGCAGGAAACCGGTGGCAGCCACTGTTGAGATGAAAGTCATGGAGATGGCCAGGGTGACGTCCCCTCCAAGGAGGAGGCTGAAGAGGTAGCTCCCCCCGCCGCCGGGCGACGAGCAGGTGATGATGAGGCCTAGAGCCAGAGCCTTGGGCAGCATGAAGACCTTGGCCATCAGGAAAGCATAGAAGGGCATGACCAAAAACTGGCCCAGGAGGCCCAGCAGCATGGGCCGGGGGCTCTGCAGGAGCCCTTTCAGAACCTCGAGTTCCACTCTGCATCCAAACGAACACTTGTTGACAAAGACCAGAGGCAGGAGCAAATACAGGACCGGGTTCTCGGAGACGCGGGCCAGGCCGGCGCCAAGGGCGGCGGGGGCATCTTCAGCAGGCAGGACCCTGATGCCGAAGTCGCTCCGCTCCTCAATGAGCACGGGCGGGGCCCCCCGGGGCTCCAGGAGCTGAATGTGGAGCGGGGCTAGCCCAGGCAGGCCCGAGCGGATGCTCACCACGAAGCCGCCTCCGCCGCCCCAGCTTGTGGCGCTCACGTTCCTGATGGTCAGCACCTCCGTGTCAAGGGAGGTGACCCTCAGCACGGGGCCAGGCCCTGTCCGGTTGCCCTGGCCCCGGTACCGGCTCGAGATCACAATGATGCCCTCGCTCTCCTCTGGGAACTCAAACTCCATCACGGAGCCATCCCCGATGCTCAAGTAGCGGCCCCCTGTCAGTGGCACAGCGTGGCCCAGAGCTGCGCTGAGGTTGGTACCGGCCGTTCCCCTGGCCCCCAGAGGCAGGCTGACCAGCAGCAAGGAGGCCCCGAGCACGCCTAGGGGGCCTCGGCAACCGCCACCCCCTCCCAGGCTGGGCCACCCCTGGGAACTGCTCCTGCCCCTTCTGAACACCATGGCTCCTCCGAGAGGACGGTGTACCCGGGCCCTCCGCCGCTTAGGAGAACAGCCCCACTGGTGCTGTCGGGGCGACCGGAGAAGGGCCCATGGGCCAGGCCTGGCCCTGTGCTGTGCTCCTCGATGGCAGAGCTCTTCCTGAGGAGAGAAGGGACACAGGTGGCTGGTCAGGGTGAGCAGCCATGAGGCCCGGCGCAAGGGGATCTGGGAGCCTACCTGCTGGGAGGCTCAGCAGGGCCCCTAGCCCCAAACCCAGGGACAGAAGGGCAATGCCTAGTGTGGGCCCTTCAAGTGCCATTGGCTTTCCCCTCCCCTAGCAAGTTTCCCATCCCTCATCCGGGGAGGGGGGCGCCTACACCGAGGAGTTCCTGTTCAGCCTGCTGCTCTCCCCGGGCTTTTCCGGCACAGTGGACATGCAGCAATGTCCTGACACCAGGACACTGGGTGAGCCACCCCCAGTCCCGTCGCCACCAGCCCGTTCCCCGCGGGCTCCGAGACACGGCCATGCGGGGGCCGCAACGATACCACAACCAGTATGAAATCTCTCAAAGGCTGCGTGGGGATGCCAAGCAGACAAGCCTGGGGAGAGTGAAAGGTGTCTGTCACCCGCCGGGCAGCCGGCAAAGGGGCGTGGGCGCTGGGTAGCCATCGGGCCACAGGCCTCGGCGGCTGGTGTCTACCACGGATGTGGAGTTACGGACGGTGCTGCTGTGGCCACCTGGCCTACCCTACGTGCTGACGGTGGTGAGATGGGGGTCCTGGGGCAGGGGACGGGTCCTCTCTCTCCAGGGAAACTGCTGGAAGGGGAAGCAGGAGGGTGCAGATAGGACCACAGGTTTGCTGGGTGCTTTTGTTCCTCCTGTCAGAACTCCAGCTCACCCGGCAGTCCCCGTTATTTGAGCTCCCAGAAGCACTGTGTCACATCTGAGAGGCTCTGCTCAGGGCTCAGGGGCTCCTCTCCATACCCACACGTGGCCGTACCAGAGTCCAGAACTTCCAGTGAGACCGAGTGTTTCTAGTGGGGGAAGGTGCCTCGGGACGGAGAGAGGTTTGCTTGCTTCCACTTCTCAAGTCTGGGCTGCCACCAGCCTGTAGTCCTGTCACCTGCCGGAACTGGGGCAGCCACGATGGGGCCACAGTGGTTTATCATCACTACGGCCGGTGTCCTCACGCTGCCTCACTGCAGTGTCCCAGTGCCGGGAGAGGCTCTGGCCTCTCGAGACCCTATCGGTCTTTAGCCCTGTCCCCCATCATCTGAGCCTGGGGAGCAGGGGAAGTAGGGGGTGATGGGCAGGTTAAGCAGAAAGCTCACCCCTGGGGAGGTCCCCCCTTGCCCGCTGCATGCCATGGCCTCTGCTGCTTTGGAGTTTGGGTCACTTACCCCGGAGGCCTTGGTCCAGCTCTGCATCCCACTGCCGAAGAGGGAGGCAGGAAAACCAGAGGGAGTATGAGAAGCAAAGTGGAGGGCAGTCAGGGAAAAGATGACAGCACCCGGGACTGAAGCCACCTGGGTGGTGTGATGGGTCCTCCCTTCAAAAGGGAGGCGGCTAAGGGCCATCCACCCTGTCCTTCCAGTACTGCTGGCGGCTTTGAGTCACTGCAAGAGACGTCTGGCCCAGATCCCACACCATTTCTGCTGGAGGGGCTGGAAGACTTTGAGCAGATGCACCCCAAGGCAGGGGAGGGAACCCTGGGCCGGCCGCTTTTTCCACGGAGGCCGTGAGTTCAGTGTTTGGGCAGCTGGCATCGCCGACCTGGGGCTCCTCCCTACCTGGGACTCCGGAAGTTGCCGGGTTGGGCACAGAGCTCGAGCGCGAACCGAGGCGGGAGGGGCGCGCCGCCGCCGCCGCCGCCGCCGGGCTCTTGCTGTCGTCCTGCAGTCCGGCAGGCGGGCGACTCTCCCGGGCGGTCCCAGGATCGCGCTACGGGCCCTCGCGCCACTCCCAGGCCCTGCGGCCGCGCCCGTGCCTATCGGGCCCGGCCGCCCGAGCGGGCGAGCACGGAGCCGGGCCGGGGCCGGAGGCTGCCTTCCGCCCGCCTTTTCCGGCCCAAAGCGCTCACCTGCCGCCGAGGCGCGGGAGCTCGGCGCCGGCGCCAGCGCCTGCCGGGCCGGCGGACGCCTGCGAGCTGGGCCCGCCGGGGCCCTGCCCCGCTTCGCCCCGCCCCGCTCCGCCCATCGGGGCACCCGCCCCGCCGAGGCCCCGCCCCGCCCCGCGGCGGCCGGCTCACCTCTCACGACCGGGCCCGGTTGCAACCGGATGTGACGTATCCCGGAGCGACGAGTCGGCGCAGGCTCCAGGACCCGAATGCCTTCTGGGGCGTGGTTGGCCCGCGCTGGGCTGCCCTTGAGCCGTGGATCCCAGTGTCCTGTAGTTGCGGCCGGGACGACCCGTTCCGGGTTAGGGGCCCTGATCGGGCCCAAACGCTCTGCGACCTCCAGTGGGGCAGCGGGACACAGGCTTAGCCGCTAGTAGGGCCGGGTTGACCGGGGGCCGCTGGTGGCGGGAGCCCAGGGTCAGGCACCGCCTGTTCCCACTTTCCTTCGTTCAGTCGTTGACACAGTGTCTGGGGACATCAGGGGGCTTGTCCGCCTTTCAAAACTTCTTGGCGCCACCAGCAGGGTCTGAAGGCCTCACTGAAAAGGAATAATATGCAAACAGATGGCATGAGTTGGACAAAATGGGGAGACAATAAGCAAGTACTGAGTCTGAGGGAGTTTGCATGTTCCGAAAGGCTGCTGGAAGAACTTGTCACGGCTGTGATGGAGGCTAGTGGTCCCCAGAGTTACAGGTACTTGCCCGCAGGAAGTATCCAGGACACATCGTTGAGAATGTAAGCAAAAGAAAACAGCATCTGTATTTTAATTTTTCAAGTGCATAAGAACTTTAATAAAAATCTATTAAAAAAGTAAAAATGTATTAAGTTTAAACTTATTTAAATACATTTTACTTTCAAAATTGTATTTGTGTTTTCTAAAGTTCAGATTGGTACGGGTATATGATATGTAAACAGCTAAACACAGGGTGGGGGTGTCTGCTTAAGACGGTTTGATTTATGTCAGTGATCAGAAACATTCAGAGGCCCTAGGTCTAGGCTGTTGGTGAGCCTTAGAGGACCAGTAAGGCATACGCCGTGTGTGTGTGTGTGTGTGTGTGTGTACTTTGCCTAAGACCGTCTTTGTACTAGCCCTCTCACGTGAGGCCATCCAGGGATCGGGTATTACTGGCCATAGGCAAAAGGGGAATGAGTCAGCCAGAAGAGGTGGGGAAGGAAAACCTAAAAGACTTGTCCTCCTTGGAGGAAGGCTATGTTTTAATCATCCAGCTAGTGCTGGGGGTCAAGGGGAACAAATGTAGTCAGAAGTCTGCTCCACATTGTTGTCAGTCACTTCAGCCCTCCCTGAAAAGCCAGAGTGAGTTAGTGGGGTGTCTGGCATGAGGGAATTTGGAGGCCTCTACAGGAAAAAAGGGACAGCTAAATTAAAGGCAAGAGAATGTTCATAGTTGGTTCAGGGGCTTAGTAAATTACCCCGGAAGAGGAAGGGCTCTGCAAGCCAGTCAAGGATCTCTAGTTCCAAAAGAGAAGTCACTTGGACGGAGAGAACATACACAACAAACGACAGGGAACAATGCAATGCAGTCCAAATGGGAGACCTGCCACTGTACCAGGTCCTAGAGTCACCATGGTGGCCCTGAGAGGTGTGCTTACCTCCCGCTCTCCAGGAACACTATGATAAATACGCACGCGTGGAAGACATGTTTTGTGCAAGAACAAGTATGGCATGCATCTGCTATTTACAGGGAAGTGTAGTGACAGCTGTCATTTTCACGTAACCAGCGTCAGGTAACAGCACCCTAATCCCTCCTCCAGGCTTGGTACACAAGGTTTGCATGGGAATCACCCCCACACTGGCTTCTGGGGTGGGCACAGGACTGGGTGCAGCCAATCAGAGCCAGGCAGACCGATAAAGAAGCCCACAATCCAATCTGGACCAATGGGAGTTAGTTCCCAGGGACTTGTGCTGGAATTCTTGAGAAGGTGGGAGCTCTGTGTGCCTGGGGTTGCTAAACTGGGACCTCTGCTGTTGGTCCCCCTGTGCGGCAGAGACAGCGTGTTTGAAAATGTAGTAAATCCTGAGAACAGCAGACTCAAGAGATGACGAGACCCGTGTCCTGATAACATTATCGGGGCTAGAGTTACTGTGGGCATTGTGGTCTGATGTGGGAGCACTAAGTCCCCCTCCCTTGTCACTGCTTATTTTTGCTTGTCAGTTTGTGTCGGGATTCTGGCTTTTATAACAAAGGGTGACCTAACTCTGGTAGGCGGGCGTGGGCTTGAGGGGCAGGGACACCACCCCGGTGGAGGAGGGCCAATGGAGATATAAAGGTTTACCTCTACTTTGGAAAGTCGAGCAAGCTTTGCTTCATGCCACCATCGGCTTCCTAGTCTGTGTTGGACCAAGTGGAGGATCATACTGGCTTACTGTTTCTGTCTCTGTGACTGTGGAGACTCCCAGTGAGGACACAGCACCCCACTCCCAGGAGTTAGGGGCCATCGCTGGGGCTCACTCCTGCGTCCCCAGTGTGTAACGCAGTCCAGGACAGGCCCTTGGCGAATGTTTGGGGAAGGTCAGGCAATCACAGCGGTTGTTTGAAAGGCACAGTGGGGGGGCACCTGGGTGGCTTAGTCGGTTAAGCGTCCGACTTTCGCTTGGGTCATGATCTCGTGGTTCGTGGGTTCAGGCCCCGCATCGGGCTCTGTGCTGACTGCCAGCTGAGAGCCTGGAGCCTGTTTCAGAGTCTGTCACTCCCTCTCTCTCTGACCCTCCCCTGCTCACGCTGTCTCTCTCTCTCTCTCTCCTAGAAATAAATAAAACATTAAAAAAAATTAAAAAAAAAAAAAGGCAAGTGGGGCCTATGTGCCTCCCAGGCTTGCTGTGTGGATCTTCAGTGACATTTGGTTTCATTTGGGGCAAGCTACCAACCGTGGGGAGCCCCACCTGCCTGTCTTCTAACCTCCGGGCTCCAGTGAAATTCTCCCAGGCTCGGCAGGCAGTTGTATCTCTCTGTAAACGGGGAGAATGACAGTCCTTTCTTGCTAGGGTTGGCATGAGGCCCACGTAGGCAGTATGTGTAGAATGGGAAGGCCCATGGAGGGACTGAAGGGAGATGGGCCATGGGGGCTGCAGGTGAAACACTGGCCACGTGTTGATCACCGGGGCAGCCCAACAGGTACGTCAGACCTCATTATAGTATCTTCCCTCCTTTGGGGGACATCTGAAACTGTCTATAATTAAAGGTTTAAAAGTGAATCCATGTATGACACTACGGTGGTAGACACACGTCATGACACATTTGAGAAACGCACAGACGGCTCAAAACCAAGAAGGAATCCTAATGTCGACTCTGGGGTTGGGGTGATGAGGTGTCAGTGTAGGTCGGGGACGTGCGAGCCCTCTGTACTTTCTGCTCAACTTTGCTGTGCACTTAAAACTGCTCTAAAAAAGCAAGTCTCCAAAGCACTTGGCTCGGGATCAGGCTGGCTGTTGGCTTCTATGGTCATCGTCTCCTGGGCAAGCACCTGGGCTCTTCTTGTGTCTCCACTTCTCTGATCTGTGAGGTCCTGGCATCATGGCGGCAGCCTCTCCTCGTCTTCTGCCTGCTCCCTAAATACTTTCCTTTCTTGACACTTTGTTCACACTCTGGTAGCACTGACCTGCTGGAAGGTGGAGACCCGGGAAGCCTGTCTCCAGAGCAGGACTCATTAAGTCCATTGCCACTGCCACGGCCCCCTCGAGGCTGCCTGGCTGGCTCCTGGATTCCCTGACCACTTCTTTGCCCACGGAGTTACCATTCCAGCAAAAGTCCGTGTTGGTTTTCACTTCACGAAGGGAAACAGAACTGTAATCCTCAAGAAACGCCAAATAGCTCACGACTTGGGCTTCGAAGCCTTGATCTCAAAGGCAGACACCCTAGCTCTTGAGGGAGTCTGAGGGGACCGGGAAGGCACCCGGGCTGGTTCTAATCCCCATCCCTGTTCCCCCAGGAGTCCTCTCTCCTGGGCAAGTTAGGGAGCTGCTCTGCTTTCCACCCGTGTCACATCTCAGCCACCGCGGAGCCCAACAGTGGCAGGAACGCTGGGGACAAAGGCTGCCTACGAAGGCTATGGGAGCAGGTTGGCTAAGCCCCAGGGACATGTCCCTCCCCACAAGGACACTACCCGACTCCCCACTCAATGCACTTCATTCCACTGGGGGCCACTAATTTATTGAGAGGTCATCTGGAGGGCGGGCCCCCGACAAAGCACGGGAGCTGCCCTCGGCCACGCCAGGGACGGTCATCAGGCTACTTCCGTGCCCCCGCGAGCCTGGCTCCCACAAGGTCCCTTCCCGCGGAGGGCGAGGCAGGAGGCAGCCAGGTGTGGCTCCTCTGAAGGAGTCACCCTGGAAACAGGATTGGCCCAAAGAGCAGCAAGCGGCTCTGGGACGCAGAGCTCCTGGAAGATGCCCCGGCCTGCTGCACAGCTGCCGAGCGCCCGGCGTCCTCGCGGCTGCGGGTGCCTGGGAATCTGGCGGGGCTGACCAGGGGAGGCAGCTTTACAAAGAGAAGGAGATGGGTGCCTGGCTTCCCCCGACAGGGGCGGCCGGCCCTGCCGCGGTCCCCGCCACGGGTCACAGCTGGTCCCCAATCTCCGCCCCGGAGCCCTGAAGTGTTGGGGCAAGAGAGCATTCCTGGCCGGACACAGGGTCAGGCCTCGGCCCTGCGCCGGCGCCGCCAGCACCTTGTCCTGGCCGGGCATGTGCAGCCCCCTCGGCCCGGGCCCTGCGCCCGGCCGGCTAGCTGGCCGTGGTCCTCCTGGGAATGCAGCCTTCCATCTCCAGCGCCGCGGGCCAGCCTTCGTACTTATTGGTGTGCTTGCTGTTCTTCACGTGCTGCGGGGTTGGGGGGCAGGGAGTCACGGCCTCAGGCCTCAAGCAGAAGGGGCACACAGGGCTTGCGGTCCCGTCGTGCTACCGTCAACTGACTGTGCACTCTTGGGGCTGTCGCCCCCCGCCTCCCGTCTGTCCCAGCACCTCACTTTTCTCATCTACTAAATGGGCGGAGCGGAAGGAGCCAGCTTTTCTGCACTATGTACGCAGCACACACACGGGGAAGGTGAGGAGGGGCTACTGGGAGCTTCAGGAAGAACAAGACCAGAGGGAGCATTTCTGCTCGGGGTAATGAGTTGTTCTTCTGAGGTACCCAGAACCTTCCAGAACAGCCTCTTTGCCTTGTCCTGCTATGGGGGGCAGGGCTGGGGGACACCAAGGCTTTCACCAGGCCAGGAGCCTGCCAGAGAGAGGGATGGTGCCTGGGGCCCTCCACATGGGGCTTGACACATGTGGCCGTGGAGGTGCCGTCAACTAGAAAGTGGCAGGGGCTGTGGTGTGAATCGGGGTCCGGGATTGTGGAAGCATGGGGCACGACTGAGCATCTTGAAGGGGTTTGGGAGAAAGGTCCCTTAGTTGGGAGTCTTGCCATTATGAAAGCTTTGCCATTTCAGGGCCCCAGAGGGTGAAGTCCATACGGGACAGGGAAGGTCAAAGCTGTGCCGCCCCGCCCTGTGCGGATGGGAAGGGGTCTGCGGCTGCCGGGGCTTGGGCTGCCGGGGCAGAATCCAGGGCGGGTACTCTGTGCTGAGGTGCCAGGCTTTCCACCCGTACCTGCTCAAAGGGGCTCTTGTTCTGCACGCCCTTGGCCCCCACAAACACCCAGCTGTCCCGGAAGGCTAGGTCCTTCACATTCTTGCTGCCCAGATCACTGAAAAGCTTCCTGGTCTCCTCGTTCATCCTGCCGCACAGAAGGAAGACACATGAGCGGCTGCTGTGGAAGGGCGAGGCTGAGGCCGGCCTCCGCAACCACTTACTTGGTGGCTGGGTCGTCGTATGATGCCACAAACACCAGGGTACCTTCGTGCAGAGGCCGAATAAACTTCAGCAGATCGTTGACATCTGGGGTGGCAGGGCGTGTGAAACACGGAGACTCAGGCCCCACGCAGGGCCTCTCCCCACCAACCCTGTTCTCCAAACGAGGAAACTAAAGCAGGGATCAGGCCAGGGGCTCACCCACCGAGGTCCCCGGGAAAAAGGGACAAACCGGTATAAGAAGCCAGGGCCATCCCCATGACCATGCACCTGCTCCTCTCCCTGCCTTTTCCAAACCCAAGGACATGCTCAAGAGGCCACGGTGAACGGACAGAGAATGGCATTTCGGGAAACACTCCGAGTGGCCAGTTTGTGCCGCCACTCACCTCCTGCCCACATGTCAAAGGCCCGGGCTTCGATGAGCTCACCGCTGACCCCTGGGTTGAGAGAGAGGGAAGGGGTCCTGCTGGGCGAGTCCCCGGGGCCACTCCACCCTACCATCCCGGCCGTCCTAGAGCAGGCTAGGGACATGGCAGTGGCCGCTGGGTGCAGCCCTTCGCAGCCCTTCTGGAAGCTGTTCAAGCATCCTGCACGTTCGTGCCCACCGTGGCCCTTGTTCAGAAAGCTGCGGCCCGTCTGAGGCGGCGCGGCTTCTGGCTGCCATTTGAGGCCCTCCGGGGGCTCCCTGTGAAGCACCCTCCAACTTCCCGGAAACTTCTGGTTCATTACTGCTTTTGTTTATTGGGTCACTTCTGCTGTGGGAAACTTCGGCCTGCACAGACCCTCTCCCGGGCCCCCCTGGGGATCCCCAGCAGTGGGGGCGGAGGGAGGAGAGGGCCACGGCGAACACCCAGACGCCCCCTCGTGGGGAAGGAGGGTGGCAGGCCACGGCACGGCTCTGCTCCTCTGGCCTGAACTCTGACCCCACACCGCAGGGACTCACCGTTCACCAGGGCGATGTTCAGTCCACGGCCCACATTGTCCTTGACGCTGCTCATGAGCCTAGCGGGAGGGAGCAGAGTCCTCAAACGTCCCTCACAGATCCAGCCGCCAGGCTCCCGCCCCCCCCACCCCCCACCCCAAGGAGCTCACATCTTATCTTCAAGGCAGATCTTTGGTCCGATGACATTGGCGGCCCCGCTGACCATGCGGAAGGCCAGGTGCTCCTCGGGACACGGCTGGGGCAGGCCGCATTTGTATTTCCTGGCTCGTGGCTCTGGGCAGGTACAGCAGGGGTGACCCACGGGCCTGGCCCTGGGGTCACCTGAGATCTGAGAGGGGGAGGTCAGGACCAGCCCACAGGTAGGAATGAGTGGCTACAGAGCAGGGGCCCAGTGGGGGGGGGGGTGGGCGGAGAGGACATGGCTCGGTGCAGGGTGACAGGGACACTTCCGCAGACACTCTGCCTCAGTGCAGGGTGACAGGGACCTCGGGGGAGCTTTTCTGCCACTGGTGGGAGAAGAGAAGACGTAGGAGGGCTGCCACGAAGAGAGCACGGGTGGGGAAGGAAGAGAGCACACGGACGCCCCGGCAGAGGTGGGAGGATGGGAGGAGGGCGGCCTCTGGGACCGATCCGACTGTGCCCCACAGACGTGTTCACGTCCTAACTCCCAGCGCCTTCGAATACAAGCCTATTTGAAAATAGGCTCATTGAAGATGTAATTTGTAAAAACGAGGTCATCCTGGAGTGGGGTGGCCCTAAATCCAATGACGTGTCCTTTTAAGAGACAGACAAGACACAGAGACAGGAGAGAAGGCCCTGTGAAGACGGAGGCAGAGCCGGGAGGGCTGTGCCCACAGCTCAAGGCACACCTGCGGCCGCACAAGCCGGAAGGGGCAGGAAGGAGTCAGAATTGTGGCCCCCCGACCCGCGGCGGGCGGGGAAGAAGCCATGTACCCGGTCCGAGCTACCAGGGGTCCATGCTACTTGGTTATGGCCGTGCCAGAAAATTCACATGGATTTTGATAGCAGGAGGTGGGCACTGCTCCAACAACCCCGCCAGAAGGTGGAAACAGCTTTGGACCTGGGCACTGAGGGGAGGCTGTAGAATTTTGGGGTGAAGCTAGAAAGGGTGTCCATCGCCTTATGGGGCTGTTGGTAGAAATGTGGATGGAAGAGGTCAGAGCTGGTTTGAGAGCTTGGGGACCACGTCTGTCACCATGACCACAACGTTGTTGGCAATGCGAATGTTGGAGGCGCTTCAGTCGGGCGCCCGGGGGGCTCAGTCAGTTCAGGATCCGAGTTCGGCTCAGGCCATGATCTCAGGATCGTGAGTGTGACCCCGCGTCGGGCTCTGTGCTGACAGCCCGGAGCCTGGAGCTGCTTCGGATTCTGTGTCTCCCTCCCTCTGCCCCTCCCCTGCTTGTGCTCTGTCTTTCAAAAATAAACATTAAAAAATTAAAAAGGTGCTTCTGGTGAGGTCTCAGGTGGAAACGGGGAACGTGTTATTGGACGCTGGTGGACAGGTGGTCCTTGTCATAAAGTGCCCAAGAACTTGTAACCGCTGAACTTGGATACTTAGTTGAGGTGATTTCCAAACACAGTTGGAAATGAGGGCCTGGCCTGGGTTCTCCTTGGTGCTCACAGCAACGTGTCAGTTTAGAAAGCTACACTGAAAACAACCGTGACCAAGCCGGCTCTGTGGTTGGATGAGCACTTACCACAGAGCCAGAGCATGTGACTTGGGGACCCACTCAGGCATGTCAGCAGAAGCCAGGAACAGAAATGGGATTATCCAGGACAGATCTGGGGGCCCTCTCGTCTCCTAGCTCAGAGCCTCATAAACTGCATAAGAGACTGACAACGTTTCTGAGAATTTTATACCAGCAGAAGGAGTGCTGTCCTGGGCTGAAAGGGACAGAAAAAGGACAGAAGGAAGGAAGGATGGCTGTGAGGGCAGAGCGGTGGCTACAGAGGCCAGAGATGGCCCAGGCACAGAGGGTAGGAGCACTGCCTCCGTTCCAGAGGGCGCCCCCCACTCCCCGATCACTTACGCCCAGAGCCCAGAGCATTGGGCCACAGAGGATTCTTCTCAGGCCTTGATTCCTAGTGGCATTTGCCCTGCTGGGTTCTGGACTGGCTGGGAGTGGGGACTGCTTTATTCCTTGCAGTTTCCCCCTTCTGCAGTGGGGACGTCTACCCTATGCTTGTCTCACCAGTGTACTCTGGAAACAGGTAACTGGATTTCTAGGTCCACAGCGTGCAAGCGGCCTCAGGGGGCTGTGATGACCCTTCTGGGGAGGGATGAATGGAGCAGGGACAGCCTGCAGGCCTTAAGGCAGGCGGTGGTGTCACAGAAGTAGTATGAGGGCTGGTAGTATGAGCAGAAGTAGTATGAGGGCTCCCCTGTACAGGAGGAACAGGGAGGTGACAGGAGCCTTACCCGCAGTCGCTGAGTTCTCTGGGCCTGTGGGTACAGAGAGTTGTTTGTGTCAGGGTGGCGGCCTCCAGCGGCCTGCGGCAGGGCCTCCTGGCCCGACACCGTGAAGTCAAGGTGGAGGGCTGATCAGGCTCAGGGGCCAGGGGCTAAGCCAGATGCAAGCCCCCTGCTCCAGGAAAAGAGCAAATTGCAATTGTAAAGGGTACTTTGGGCAAAAGGTCAGCACTAACAAGGTGTAGAGTGCCGTCTGCATCTCAGAGCCCAGTGGACAGCCTGCAGGAGTGGCCAGGGTGTCATCCCCAAGGCTCCTCGGAAGCCCCCCGCCCCTCCCACACCGCTGACTCCAACTGCGCACAGAACTGTAACTGCAGGGATTGGGGTTCCCAAATGACGCAACGGGTGGTACAGCGAAGATGGTGTTGGATGCAGGAGACAGAGTTAGGGTAGCTAGAGGCGGCTTACCAGGGAGAAAGAAAACCCAGGCCACACCCGTCTCACCCAGAGCCTCCTCCCACAGACCCGGGAGGCTGCCTTGGTGACTGCCACAGCAGAGCAAGGAAGGGTCCCACACTCACTAGTGAAGAGCTGCTGGATGCGAGGAAAGCCAGCGCCAGGCCGGCCCAGGAGAATGCTGACCACAATCCAGGTGAGGCCCACGGTGACAACCAGGGCCACGATGCGGAGGGGTCCTGGAGGCAGGACAGACACAGGAAGGCCACCTCAGTTGACAGTGAGCTCCCCAACGACCCTAGGGCTTCTCAGGAGCGGGTCCCCCCCGCACCCTTGGGAAGAACAGGAAGGTGAGGACCCATTGCCATCCACCAGGCCTGAGACAGGACTTGAGCTCCTGGCAGGTAGATGGAGGAAACTGAGTCTCGGACCATGAGCTTGGTTCTCTGTGGCAGGTGTGGAGGAGACTTTCAGCCCGTGCTGCTCAAGAGGCTCCAAGCCTCCCTTAGGAACTCACTAACTTTTGGCCCCTGAGGCGACCAATGTTTTTCTGTCCCTTCCATCCTCTCCCGTTTCTCCTGCTGTGATGGAGGCGTGGTCCTTACTCCCTCTGAAGACCCGTTCCTTCACCTGCCATGAGCCGGACCCTGAGCTCTCCTCCTTGTGCAGATTTCTGGTAATGTCACCATTTGTTGTCTTGCCCTTTCTCCTCTATCTTCGATATCTCCCATTGTAAGAGATCACCGAAGGGCATGCGCTCCTTCAGGATCACAGCCCCATCTGCCACTGACCTCTCTCTCCTTTCCGTTCATCTTCCCAGTGAGTATCTCCAAAGTCATCTGCACTGGCTCCTTCCCCAGTGTCACCTTCCACTCTGTCCCCACCTACTGCAATCTGGCCTTCTCTCTATCACCCCATCAAAGCAGCTTGTTGACAAGACCACCTCTGACTTTCCTGGTGTCAGTTCCCTAGGTCGACTCTGGGCCCTCCTGGTGGAAATACTTGTCCACAGGCTTCTCAGACATCACATTCTAACCCCTTCTGGACGCTCCTCATCCTCCTCGGTCAGATGGTTTTCACGTATTCTCTCCCCTGAAAAGCTTGATGTGCCCAGGTTTCTGTACGTACAGTCTACTGTCCTATCCATGCCCTCATCAAGTCCCGGTCCTGGACTAACCCGCAGAGCAGCGTGTACTTTCTTGCCGCAGCCCTGACTGATCTTGAGGCCGTAACTTCGCAGCCAGTCCCGCACTGGCCAGCTCTAACGGGGATACATTTATAACGTAGCAACCCTATGAGATCTGAAGTCCAACTCTTGAGTTCTGCTCTGACTGCCCACCCTCGTGTGTCCCTCCCGAAGCCAAGCCATATTCAGCTTAGCTGTCCAGGCGACAGCAGGTTTGGCACCGGGTTCAATGCAGCCCCACCGCCTGGGGGACCATTTCTCCTCCGAAGGCACGCCTCCGCGCTACCGCGCCCCGCCCCCTCCACCTAGCCGCCATGCTCCCCGAAGCCTCTCCCACAGCTCGTTTTTTTCAGGCAGCGGCCAGTTAGTTATCCGAGTTAGGACAAATCGAGTATCCTAATCCTCACTTCACAGTTTTTGAAGTTCTGGGAGGCGAAAGGATTTGCTCAAGGTCATAGAATGACTGTTGGTGCAGTGTTTTCCGTTTCCAAAACCACACTCAGTGGTCCACCAGAGTCCCTCCAGAGAGAGATCTCTTGGACACCTGGGCCTCCAGGGCGATCCCCTTTCCAATTCCTTCCCGATCACTGTGGACGCCACCCACCTGCCAACCTCATGTCCACCTCTCCCGCTGGGTTGAGGTCGCCGGCAGGTGCAGTGTTTGGATATCCTGCGCTCTGGGCGCAACAAAGCACAGGAGCGCGTTTGGGTAGGATTCAAGGATGAGCCTGTGCTTGGTCCCTGCTGCTGGGTGGACGCGATCAGTGCACCGGCCTGTTCGTCCAAGCACCTGGGCAGGCTCCTCGGGCACGCGCAGAAAGGCCTGCCAGGACAAGAAGGTCCTCAGGAACCTGTCGCCCGTGCCCACGGGAGCCCCTGGAGCCGGGAAGTAAAACTGGTTCTTCCGGACACAGGCCTCCTCCCATGGGAGGCCCAGTGTTCAGGTCACCATTCCCAGGCTGGGGACGGACGCCGCGGGCTAAGCTAGTGGAGACTTGCCTGGCCCGTGGGACGATGCAAGCGGGGTTGGAGGCAGCGTCGACAGGCCGGCAGCCCGGCTCCGCTCACGAGGGGAGACAAGTGCAGCTCTGCCCTTACAGCCCCGGCAATGGCGGCCCGGGGGCGGGGCCACAGCCCGCCAGCCCCGCCCCCGCCGCGGGTCTGTCAGAGGGAAGGAGGCGGCAAAATCCCCGCCCCCGGCTCAACGCTTCCCCGCCCACAGGCCCGCCTCCACCGCTCGCTCCGGCCGCCGGGTGGGAGGGGCCCGCAGCGGCCCCGCCTCGGACGCGGGCCGGCGGCGTCCCCAGGCCTCCGAATGGGAGGAATGGGAGGAGCCGTGTGGTCTTGCAGCCGATCCCACGCGTGCTTCGCCGCACAAGCCTCCCCCAGACTCCTCTAAGGCGGTACATGCCGGCCTTCCCAGGCTGGGGCCGCGGTCTGTCCTGCAGTCGGATTTCTGAAGCCTGGAAAGAAGCAGATGTATCTGGGGTCTTAATTACAAATTGTTTCGAAATTGATATGTGTCTCTTTTACAAAGCAGGAGGAAAAGAAGAGTCCACCGGGTAAAATACCAGAATGCGACGAGCCAGAGGCCACCAAGCTCGGCCTTCCGATGCCTTTCCTACATGGGAGCACGCTCACGTGGTTTCTGTCTGGCTCATACTGGAAAACTCCTGCCCATTCCCCTCACCCCCTTCAGGAAGGCGTCTATGCCACCGCCCAGTGCACCCCGATCACCTCCTGCTCTGGGAGAGCTAGACCTGCTGCCATTAGGGGGCATGAGAGCCAGGGAGCCACCCGTGTGTCCCACCCAATGACCCCACTATGAAACCTTCATAAAGAAAAAAATCCAAAATACAAAGAAAGCTGGTAGACCCAGGCAGTGACGGTCTGCGTACAATCCAGTACCATCTACACCGGCGTACACAACACACAAGATCAAGGTAATCAGTTTTGGGTCCCCGCTGCTGCAGGCGGGGGCATTTTTCTTTTTCATGGAATTTGGTATCAGACACCATGCTGACCAGCTGTCCAACTCCAGTGCCCTCCTCGGGGCTCTTTCCTGCCGTGCTTGGAGCTGAGGTGGCGGTCGGACAGAGCTCCTGGGTGCTCGGGCTCCTGGGCTGCCAGCCAGGCACGGGCCACGGGCCAGGCTGGGAGTTCAGAGAGGCCACTGTTTACATCTTGCACAGAGCAGGCCTTTTGGAAATCTTGGTTTAATGAGTCCCCTTGAGGGTCCTGAGGCACACCCCCCAGCCCCCTGGGCTCCGCCTAAGTCACGGGCCAGAAGCCTGGGATTCAGTTGCAGGTCTTCTGGGCCTTGTGGAGCAGCCTTGCACGAGTCCCTTATTTGCTCAGGGACTGTTTTTCAATCCGGACACAGAGAAGATTAGACCCTCATGTCACAGGGCCTCGTGTCACTGCCCCAGCACAGGCAGCCAGGGCGAGGCGGCAGAGACCAACTCCTGCGGGCCCGCTTACCTGTGCCCCAGCATAGTCCTCATAGCTGAGGGGCCAGCTGACTGCTTCCTTCGGTCCCCTTGTGTCTGCCTCCGTGTAGGCATCCGGAGCTGGCGTGGCTGCCGATAACCTCAACTCATCTCTCCTCTGCTTCTCTCGGCGTAGACACTGGCCACGGAGCAGTCGGTCCACGGTCAGCCTCTAGGCCTGTGGGCTTCTGCCCCACAGCAGGCCCCCCACCTGGGACTTGTCACCTCGACATTAGACAACCAGATCTCAGGTGACAGTGAAGGCCCTCGCCTCTGCCATAGTGGGGGACTGCAGAGCTGCAGGGACAACTGACTTCCCCCCACACAGTCCTTCAGACCTCCACCTGTGTTTCATAACCCACAGCTGAAGTGACCATCAACTGACCTCATTGGTCCCTCCTTCTCCTTTCCACGACAGGCACTGAGATCTAGGCTTTCACGGACTCCTCTTCCCCGGGGCTTCTGCCTTAGCATGGGGCGCCAGTGTTAAGTGAGAGCTGAACCCCTGGACGGGGCCCTCACGTCCCCACCTCGTAGCGCGTTCTCCTCTCCAGCACGTGGACAGACGGGTGGGCTTTCACTTGAATGGCGCCGTCACGCGGGCCCGCAGTGCTGAGGCAGCGCCGGGGCGCCTCCTGGCGGGGTTCACGTCTCTGCCCGTGCAGCTCTCATTGCTGACACGCTACTTGTGGATCGTGTCGGGTCCTCATGCTCTGCCTCAGCGCAGGGACCCAGGCCTGAGGTCACAGTTGAATGTCTGCACCCGACCCTCCTTCCTCCACCCGAAGGTAGGCACCAAGAGCCGAGGTGAAAGGGCGCCCGTCTACTCCCTGCCCTCAAGTAGGATCAACTTAAATGGTGGTTGAATGCTGCAACTTGGACCCAGGGCTTCTGCCCCAGTGCACGCACTCGAGCTCGGGGACCGTCGGCCATCCTCACACAGGCTCTCCCGTCCCGTCCCAGTGTACAGATTCAGTGCCAGCTGAAAGCCCTTCTACCTCAGCAGCAGTGCTGCTACCCAGAGTGGAGGGGACAGCTTAATGTCCATACCCGGAACCTCACACCGCTTCCCCACTGCAGGCTCCTGGAGCCGAGAGGACACTTGACCAGCCTCATCTGGACCCTCATTGCTTGGTTTCCCAGAGGCACCCAGACGTCAGGCGACAGTTGAGTGTTACCAGCAGGGCCGTTATGCGTGTGCCCCAGCATAGCACTTACATCTGAAGTGTCAGGTGCCTGCTGTCACCCAGGCCCATGTACCTGTCACAGTAGAGACACTCAGAGCACAAGGAGATCGGGACACCTCCACACTCCACACTCCTCCCTCCCTGCTCACACCTGGTCACCACGTGCTCCCGGGCCTGGAGCTGGGTCCCTCTTCTGCGTCGGCCTCGTGCTGCTGCCCGTGTAGACTCCCCCCACCCCGGGCGCTTCAGGAGCACCCTCCCAGGTCATGCCATGCCCGTATGGTCCTCAGGGGACTATCCACAGAACCCAGCTCTGGGGGTGGGGGGTCCTGTAGTCTATGAATGCCTGTGGGGCTCCGCAAAGGACTCTGAACTTAAAAGATCCCTGAGGGATCAGGAAGGACTCCTGCACCCTCACTTACTTGGCTCCTCCCCAACCTCATATCTATATTTTGAGAATTTGAGGTTCCAGGCGGGCCAGGGTGGCAGCGGACTTATATGGCTCTTCCCCTGGAGAAGGCAGAGCAGCGCCCCCTGGTGGGAAGCGGGGGGGAAGGCACAGCCACATCTTCAGGGACCCATTCTGCCCCATTTCTCGCCACCATCCCAGGGGACCATCCCTCATCCACCCATCACAGGCATGTGGCTGCACCGCAGTCAAGGGCAAAGACCCTGTGTAGCCAGGTGGGAGCCAAAGGGTTACGGGAGAGCCTGTGAGTTCCCAGGCTGGGCCCCACTGACTCCTGGGGAAGCCTTTGCCACTGCCCCCTACCCAGGAGGTCATAGACACTAGCAAGGAGGGTGAAGGTCGTCGGCCCCTGGCTGGACCCTGGCCTCCAATCCTGTGCACATGGAGTCTTTTTAGCTGCTCCGCACGGACCTGGGGCAGGACAGATCTTGATGTCTAGATCCCACTGACTCGGCACTCAAGGCTCTGTGATCTGTCTTTAACCTATCCCTCCAGTGACCTCCCACCTTCCTTAACCCGTAGGTGCCACTTTCCCCGGCATCGGGAGGGGGCTGGACGGTGGAGACAGCACCCAAGGGTGCAGCTCGTGTCCAGGGTTGACCTCCTACCCCAGCTTATGGGGCAGGAACACACCAGCCCACCACTGGAGTTTCTTCTTTATCTCTGTATTGCTGCCGCAGAGTCCTGGGTGGGAGCCTTGGTTTGTCCCCCACAGCCTGCAATCTGCCTACAGCACTGCACTCTGTTGGCCTCTCCGGACCCAGCTGCTACTGTGCCAGCCCTGGGTGAGGCGGCTGTAGGGAGCCAAGATGGAGACGGTTGGAGTGGAAAAAAGTTCTGGGCAATTCATTGCCTCCCAGGTGGGGGCACAGGTCAAGCTGGAGGGAGGGGCCAAGGCCAACAGCCTGAGGGTCTTCTCCCGCCAGTAACACTATGTTCACCTCCCAGGGAGGGGAACCTTTGTCCCCTGGTGATTTCCAGTGTCCCGTGTTCCCTCGCTAGAAGGTACCATCACCCGACCATGGTGTTTCATTTCTGGCTGGCTGCGTCTAGTGGAACCCAGGCCACGAGCACGGGGACTGCAGCGTGGCTTCCAGCCATGTCCCTGCAGCTCACCAAACGGCTGGGGGAGAGGGCAGGAAACCCTCCACGCTGCGGCCCTGGTTGGGAGGGTCGAGGAATGAACAGCCCCCCACCCTCCGCACCCCGGGCCTTGTTTGGAAACGTGAGTGTTTACAGAGATAATCAAGGGAAGTGCAGCTGACACCCTGAATGCATGCAATATGACCGGTGTCCCCAGGAGAGAAAACGGGACTGGATACACACACACACACACAGACCAGGCAGGATGTGGGAACGCAGACAGACGCCGGGGTGACGTGTGTATAAGCCAAGGAGGCCACAGACGTCGGCCACCACCTGCACGTGGAAGGGGCAGGGTCGTCCCCTAGAGTCTTTGGAGGGGGCACAGACTTCCAGCATCAGGACTGTGACAGGATCAAAGTCTGTCGTCTTCCGCTCCCCCCATCCCGCCGCGGGTGGGGCCTGGTTACAGGCCAGCACGCCCACTGCCTCTCGTGCCGAGACTCCCCCTGCTGCGTGGACCAGCAGTGTGTCCATGGCCCCCAGCCATTCCGCTAAGCGAGCAGCCGGGCAGGGATGTCGTCAGGGCAGCGAGTGCCATGGAAATGTTTGGCACGAGGCAGAGACCAATGTGACCTGATCTCGTACCCCTCCGTGGCCTCCTGATGGAATCCCGCAGAGCGGGCACAGTGAACAGCACGGATGGTGGGGGGGGGGCGCTCAGGATGCAGCCACAACTACACGTGGGGTCAGGGCAGAAGGCCTACATCCCGAGACCACAGCGGGGAGGGAAGTGGGTGCCGAGGACAGGCCAGCGCCAGGCGCACACACCCTCCTCCCCAGTTGCGAGTGGCAGGAAGGAAACAGCCAGGGAGCAGGCAGGTCTGTCTGCGGATTTAATGGCAGGGGCTGAGTCGGTGCATGCCCCTTGCTCTTCCAGCCCTTCCAGTGGCAAGGGGGCCCCCTGTGGGTGTGTGGCCCATGGAGTGCAGAGTTGTAGGGGCAGGGTGGGGTGGAGGGACATTCGGGGGGGGCCCACGACACAGGGGACCGCTGGGCGGCACGGAGGTCCCTTCCAGCGGGTGACCAGGAATGTCAAGTGGCACTGAGATGGGTGGGAAAGCGCTCGGCCCCTTCCCCCCAGCTGTGAGGAGCTCGCTCAGAGCTGGCGGAGTGTGGAGTGGCCGCCACCCCTCCTTGCCATCCCTTCCTCCTGTCCCGGCAGAAGCTGGCTCAGGAAGGGGTGGTGGCAGCCAGGGACGGTCATGGCGCAAGTCTCAAGTGCGTGGTGCTTGCGGAATGTCACTAGGCCCAGGGTGGCAGGCGGCACAGAGCGGGCAGGGTGGCCAGTGGCCAGGAATGTGAGGCTTATGGTCCGAAGCCCTCCCGACGTGGGCTCGGGCTGGCGGGCGAATGGGAGGCACAAGGACAGATGGGGCCACGGCGGGTGGGGCGGGGACCTGGGGGGCGGGGCTCAGAGCTTGTGGGGGTTCACCCACTTGTAGGTGCCCTCGTACTGGAAGCCCACTCTCTTCATCAGCTCGTCTGCCTCCGCGGGGCCTCGGCTGAGAGAGTGACAGGCAGAGGGGAGGTGTAAGGGAGCCCTTGGGTCTTTGACACTCCCCCCCCCGCCCCCCCCGGCCCAGAGCCTCACCTGCCGTAAACATAGGGGATGGGCTGGGGCTTCTCGCGCTCGATCTCGTGCAGCAGTGGTGTGAAGATCCGCCAGGCTTCCCGGAGCTCGTCACTGGTGGGGGGGGGTGGCAAGGCGTGGCTCTGGAGGGGCTTCCGGGGGCGGCAGGGGAACAGGCCGCCCTGCGACCCAGAGCCCGGCCCGGCCCGTGCACGGGACCGCCACTCACCTGCGCACGAAGTGCATCTGGTTCCCACAGAACACGTCCAGGATGAGGCGCTCGTAGGCATCCGGGAGCTTCACATTCTGCCAGGAGGGGTTGTACTGAAGCTGCCGGCCACATGCATCACCCCCCCCCCCGCCGGCCCCTTGCCCGCGTGCCCACCTTGTATCTGTTGCCGTAGGTCAGGTCCAGCTCGGACTCCTCAGGGTTGAAGAACATGCCGGGCTTCTTGGTCATCATCTTGGTATACACAGCCTCGTTGGGCTGCACGCGGATCACCAGCTCGTTGCGCTTGCACTGCTGCTGGAAGATGTCGCCTGCCACGTCGCGAAACTGCAGACGCACCTCGGCTTTGCGCTCGTTCAGGGCTTTGCCACAGCGCAGGATGAAAGGCACCCCTGGTTGGGACAGAGGCGGCTTCAGGGCCTGCTTCCTGCTGGCCTAGGCCGAGCATGTGTGTGCGGGGGTGAGGCGGTGGGGGGGGGGTGTCGGTCCCCTGTGAACCAGCCCGGTTGAGGGTGTGCCTGGGGATGAAGGCGAGCGCAGGGTGCGTGTGGCGAGGCGGCCTCTCCTGCCCAGTGCCCCTCGGGCCAAGCACCCCGCGTGTGCTGGCTGCTGCCCCCCAAGTGGGTCACAGCCCGGGAAGCAGGGCTCCACTGGGGAACGGCCCCCCCACCCCCCGCCAGGCCCAGAGGCACCACCTACCTTCCCACCTCTCGTTCTCCACGTAGAGGACAACGGCCGCAAAGGTGGCAGTGGTGGAGCCGCGAGGCACTGTGGGGTCGTCCAGGTACCCTCTGGCTGACTCCCCCTCGCCGCCGGGCTTGCCCACGTACTGGCCTAGGACCACGTTCTCGGACCGCACCTCAGAGATGCACTTTAACACCTTGACCTGGGAGACAGCCGGCGGAGAGGGGGCTCTTTGGGTACAGGGGACGAGTAGCCACACAGGCGGCGGAGGGCAGTGGCCTGAGGTGGCTGCGGGCTGCATGTGGCCCTCCCACAGGGCTGCCTGGTCTGCACTAGGGCGCTGGTGCCCCGCCAGCTGCGCTCACCCGGGGGGGGCGCGGGGCGGGGCTGTGGCCTCCCACCCAAGGGCTCTCGGGGCCACCTGGACCCGCCCTCCGGTGTTCTGAGGGCGAGGCCGAGCGCTGAAGAGCCCAGGGTCGGCCTTTGGTCCCACTGCAGTCCCTGTCAGTCCTGGGACTGACGTCTTGGCCTTCTCGCCCTGGGGGCTGGTGGCAGGGACCAGAAGGGTGCGCCTGCACCCACCTTCTCGTCGCGTACGTCGTCCGAGTCAGTGGAGGCGGGCTTCTCCATGGCCACCAGACACAGCATTTGCAGCAGGTGGTTCTGCATCACGTCCCTGCAGAGGGAGGAACGCACAGCCCAGGTCATGGGCTTCCGGGCCCACCCCAACCTGTCTCCTGAAGCCGCACCCGGGCGCTCGGCGCCTCCCACAAGGGCTTCCTAGCAGCAAGCTGACATCTGCTCCCCGAGCCCACAGCTACCCCTAGAGGCCCCTTCAAGTCAAGGAAAGACGCTGAGCCATCGCTTCACGGCCACCACTAACCACTCAGACAGCCACCCGCGAATGTGAACCTTGGGGTGGGAGGAGGGGCCCCCAGGACAGGGAGGGTGACAGGCTCTCACCGGATGATCCCAAATTCATCGAAGTAGCCCCCACGGCCCTCGGTGCCAAAGGGCTCCTTGAAAGTGAGGATGACACAGGCAATGTTGTCCCGGTTCCAGATGGGGCCAAAGATCCGGTTGGCAAACCTGCAGGAGGCACGGCGGGGGGGGGGGGGGGGTGGCACCGCATCGCCTGGGGCAATAGCAGGCCGGGCTGGCACCCCTGCCGCCACCCTGACCCCGCAGCTCCGGCCGCACCTCAGCACCATCAGGTTCTGCACCATCTCCTTGCCCAGGTAGTGGTCAATGCGGTAGATCTGGTCCTCACGGAACAGGGATGAGATGTGGTTGGACAGCCGGTCAGAGCTCTGCAGGTCCCTCCCGAAGGGCTTTTCCACAATGACACGGTTCCAGCCTCTGTGGGAACCCAGAGCTGCATCACCCCACACCCACCCTGGGGGAGTAGGGGCCAGAACCCTGTCACCCCTCGGGCTCCTTTCTGGAGGAGAGGCAGAGCCTTCCCTCCCCCTTTGCATTCTTAGGTGACCCGTGAAGCTTTGCCAGGCGAGCTTTCCTGGCCCACCCTGGCAGAGTCCCCAGACCCAAGGACGGCTTCCTCTGCAGCCCCCAATGCCACACTCAAAACTTCCTCAGGAGCCTTCTGGCCCGAACCGGTGCTGAGTACAATGAGTGCTCCGTCCAGCGGGTCCCGCTCCCCTCCGGCCCACAGTGGGTCTTCAGGAGTGGTCTGAGAGCCAGTGCGGGGACGGGGTACGGGGGGCGGCTATCAAGGGCACAGCTGTGTTCATGGATTTTAAAATGAAGAAAGGTCCCTTTCTTTGCTATTTCTCACAGACAGTTAACGTGGCATTTTGCATTCAAAACCAAGGCAAAGCGGCTTTGGGGAAACGGGCTGCCAGGGCTGGTGTTCAATAGGAAGCAAAACGCCTGCGGAGCAATGCTGCCACCTTGTGGTCACGAAGGTGACCTCGGGAAACATTGAAAAACCAGAAAACAAGGACCCAGCTGCAGGAGTTGCGTGGAGCAACACTGCCACCTTGTGGTCCTGGCAGGGATAGCTGCCAGGGAAAGTTGCATTTCTAGCAGATGGACAGGGAGGCTCTCCAGGGTAAGTAAGTGTGGTGGCAATTTCAGTAAACGCTATTAGAAAGCACCTGTATTTATACCCTTTCATTTTCTGGGGAGAGCTAATTCACGTGCAGGACAAAGGTCAGCCTCTTTTTCCGATTCCGGAGACTAGTTTGCCCCGGGGCTGCGGACACTGCCAGCGCAGACCAGACCAGGCCAGGGCACACCTGGGAGGCAGGGAGGGCGAAGGACAAGCCTTACGTCTGGCTCATGCAGGTCTCGTGGATGTTCTTGGTGACCGCCTCATAGACTGTGGGCGGCAAAGCCAAGTAAAAGAGGCGGTTGGTCTGTGGCCCCTGGTGAAGGCCATTCATGTGGCTGTTGAGGCGCTGGTAGGAGGCCGCGTCGTCATACTGGCCAGCCACATACGAGTTGCGGGCAAAGAACTCCTCCAGCTTGGCCTTCTCCTCCGGTGTGGTCTGAGAAAGACGGAGACAGGGACGCTGGCCCCTCGCCGGCCCCCCCTCGGTCCTCCCACAGCCAGGGGCCTGCCAGCGTCGCGTGCCCACGGCGGGGGGGCGGGGGGAGGCTGAGGCGGCAAGAGCACCGCAGGAGACGGGGCCCAGTGGTCACCCCTGGGGGCCTTGTGCCCGAAGCCAGGAGTTAGAGTCCAGGAAACTGCGACCTGGGAGAAACGCACTGGAGGAGAGATCGCTCTCTAAAGCCATTACACCAAACCGCGGGGTGCTGAGAAAAGACAGGTCTGTAAGATCTTTGTGGTGAAGGGACTTTCTCAGCTCCTGGCCCCGGGGCGGCTGGGGGGCACAGCAGGAGCGACCCAGGGTGTCCAGGTCGGAGGGGAACGCGGGCTGGCAGGGTTTTGTGCCCCGGTGTGCCAAGGCGGTGCGGGTGGCTGCGGGGAGGGGAGGATGACAACTGCGAGGGCATCAGCGCCTCCAAGCCATCTCCCTACCCAGGCCCCGCCCCTCGGCCGCGGCAGGGGACAAGGGGGCGTGTCCCAGAGAGTGGGGGGACGGGATGGAAGGGGGCATGTCCCTCACAGAGACCCCAGACGCCACTCACTTTGAAGAAGGGCTCGCTCTGCTTGCGGATGTCGGCCACCCTGAGCTGGGAGCGGGCGTAGCCCACGATGAAGGTGTCTTCGGGCAGAAGGCCATCCCGGAACAGCCACCTGCAGGCACAGCGCAGCTGTGGCCGGGGCGGGGACGGCGGGGAGAGCTGGGGGCCGTGGGAAGCAGGGGGACATACTTACCAGATGGTGGGGTAGATCTTCTTCTTGGCCAGGTCGCCCTGTGGCAGGGAACAGGCACGGTTAGGAGAAGCTGCGGCTAGTGCCTACATGGTCTCCCGCGTCGCAGACCGGGGCACTCACCCAGGGTCAGCGCTTGGCTACGAGCAGACCTGTCTCGCCCCTGTACTTAGCGAGAGGAGCCTGAACTAGAGCCTGCGAGAGCCCTTGACCCTGCCCCTGGGCGACGGCGCCGCACATGCGGTAGCCACCCTGCCCTGGGGTGAATGGACCTCATGCCAGGAGGTGCCTTGACCAACCTGCCTGCCCTGTGAAGGCACAGACCACAGTCTCAGTCCCAGGTGCAAGTACAATGAAACCCAGGCCAAGGAGCACACTCCCAGGGGTGCCTGGGGGGCTCGGCCGGTTGACTGTCGAACTCTTGATTTTGGCTCGGGTCATGATCTCGTGGTCCTGAGATCGAGCCTCGTGTCGGGCTGCGTGCTGGGCGTGCTGCCTGCTTAAGATTCTCTTTCTCTCCCTCTGCGCCTCCCCTGCTCACTCACCTGAGCGAGCATACACTCTCTCTCTAAAATAAAAATAAAAAAGTTTCAAAAACTCTACTTTTTTTAAAAGTTCATTTATTTTGAGAGAGAGAGAAAGCGCGAGTCAAGGAGGGGCAGAGAGAGGAAGAGAATCCCAAGCAGGCTCTGAGCTGTTAGCACAGAGCCCGACACAGGGCTCGATCCTACCAACCGTGAGATCATGACCTGAGTTGAAGTTGGACACTTAACTGACTGAGCCACCCAGGCGCCCCACCAAATAGGCCACTTCTAAACAGCCCATAGGCTACATAAAAAAACCTGAAAACTCTAGAACCCAATGGCAACAGAAATAGCATATGTGAAAACCTAGGAGGTATGGCCTGCCGACATTAGCTCGGGACTAAAGAGTTAAGTGCCATACTTAAGAAGTCAGACAAAAGACAGCGGAATTAAACATTAGTTTATTTTTGAGATAGAGAAGGTGTCAGTAGGGTACAGAGAGATGTGAGCAGAGGATCCAAAGTGGGCTCTGAATCGACAGCAGTAAACCCAACGTGGGGCTCGAATTTGCAAACCATGAGATCATAATCTAAGCCGAAAGTCATATGCTCCACCAACTGAGCCACCGAGGCGCTGCGACAGAATTTTAAAGCCAAACAAATTACAAGGCAGGAAATAATAAAAACTAAAAATTATTAAAATGGAAAACAAACCAAAAGAAAATATCAACAAAGCCAAAAGTCGGCTTTTAAAAAGACTAACAAACACAGACGACCCTCTGGCAAGACTGTTTCCCTAAGAGGCGCCAAGAATTAGGACAAAAGCACAGTGAGGAAAACACAGAAGGGCATTTTATGAACAACCTTATGCCGTGTCTGATAACTTCGGTGAAATAGACAAATTTCTAGAAAGATCCAACCTATCAAAACGGAGACAAGGCCCTGAGCGGGCGATGGTCCATCAGGAAATCGGATGGCAGCCACAAACCTGCCCCCACAGCGGCAAAGCCCGACCTGCGCAGAGGGGGCTGGACCAGGGGGCTCTGCCGCGACGGCGCCTGGAGGGAGCTCCGTGCCCGATGCGCTCGGCCTGCGGGTCCAGAGTACAAGGCTCCTCCTCCAGCTAGATAAGCAGCCAACACACTTAAAAATCAACCAGACGCTTCGCAGGGGAGATGAATGGCCTACACACACGCAAGTGCGCAAGGCCATCAGTTGTCAGAAAAATGCGCGTTAAAGCATCAGATGCTGGGGGCGCCTGGGTGGCTCAGTTGGTTAAGCGTCCGACTTTGGCTCAGGTCATGATCTCGTGATCCATGAGTTCGAGCCCCGCATCAGGCTCGGAACCTGCTTCGGATTCTGTGTCTCCCTCTCTCTCTGCCCCTCTCCTGCTCACACCCTGTCTCTCTCCCTCCCTCTCAAAAATAAACATAAAAAAAAGCACCAGATGCTGCCTTACGTCGATCGCACCGCTGCGATGCCAGAGACTGACAGCGCCGAGGGCTGCAGAGGACGCAGTGCAAATGGTAGCGGGTGTCCGCGGCAGCGCCGCGCCGGAGATGACCCAAATGCTCAATCAGCATTTAAATTGTGTCTAAAAAATAAATCCAAAAAGCAAAACAAAACAAAACCCAATCTAAGAGTCGAGCGTGGGGTCAGGAGGGGTGACACAGGGGCAGGAAGTCACGGGAGCCGGCCAACAGCCAGTGGCCATGCACTGCACCATTCTGCCGGCTTTGTGGATGTGTGAGATTTTCCAAAACGTAAGGGTGTTGAACACAACACAACCTCGAGCCACGACATGGTCAATCCCACAAATTCAATAGAGGACTCCCCAGAGAGAGTCGTGGAGTTCCCGGGCCTTGTCCCCAGGCTCCGGTTCTGTCGCTGTAGCCACCCCAGCAGGACTGGATTTTGTAAGCTGACAAAGGAATTCTCTAGTCCAGGTGGAAGAGGAAGGAGCAAGAACGGTCACGGGCTCTGGAAAAACAGGAGCAGAGGACCCTTTCATCTGTGCGACCTACATTAGAGTGTGGACAGGCCCAGGCGGGAGCCCACGCCCCACCAACTGGCGCCAGTCACCAGGACACAGGAGGCCGGGCTGGGGTGTACTGGACTCGCCGCGGGCAGAGAAGCGAACTCTAGGGACAAGGACCTGTGTGTTCCATGCGAAATTACCTTTTAGAGCAACATAACTACTGGGTAAATTCATTTCCACGAACAGCTGCAAACCGGAAGCCATGTGAGCAGAACCAAAGCAGTTCTGGCCTAGTCTATCCCCCCCTGGGACAAGCAGTTAGGAAGGTGCCTGGGCTTGTTCCTGCCCAGACTTTAGTGAGCACCGAACCCGCACAAGCAAGTATCTGTCATCTGCCTGGGTCATTTCCAGGCTCCACTGGGGCCCCAAACTCCCAAAGTTGGTGATTCCCAAACCAGGGTTCCCTGTGGTGGTGCCCCTGCCCACGTCTGCTAACTGGTCACAACTGATCTCCCGAGGAGTCTGGTGCGGGTCCCTGTTGTAACTGCCACCTTCAGACGGCTTCTGTCGCCGGTCCTTCAAGGTCCCACTTGGACCCCCGGCTGGGAAGTGAGCCCAGCAACCCCCACCATGGCACTCCTCACGGTGACCCATCGGTGCAGCTGGGGGGAGACTGCTCAGGTCACTTCAGCCCTGCGTGCTCCAGAGAGGGCCGGCTTGCTGGGGACCGGCCCTCAGGAGAAACAATCAGAACCACGGCCCACAAACACCTCACGACCTTCCCTGTGCCAGGTAATGTTTGCTTACGATCAAATTCCAGTAGGCTGACAGGAATCGGGATAGGCTGTGGGCAATGGATCGGTGGCAGGGGACTAGTGTCCTGTCTGCTGAGTCACGGTGCACAACACCCTAAGCTGTTTGCTCCCTTTGGGATTAACACGCCACGGAGCCTGCTTGCCTTGTTCAGCTCAGTCCCTGTGACCAGAGGCCCGCCGGACGCCACGCCATCCACGGGAGAGGTGAGGTGGGACACGGGACACAGTCCCGGCGGCTGCTGCTCCTCACGGGGAGAGGAGGTGGCCGGCCCTCCCCACTGGCCTAGAGCAGACTCCTTTGCAAGAAGGAACGTAGGAAGACATCTACCAAATTGAAGCGCGCCACGAAGGGGGAGGGGGATCACAGGGGCCTCTGGGTGAAATCCGGTTGGAAGCCTCTCGTCTTTCCCAACCCCCTCATTTTGCCTGAGGATCACAGTGGGGAAAGAGCTGCCCCGGGACCTGTGGTGACTCAAAAGAGAAGTGGGCCCTCGTTAAGATCTCCAGCTACCGACATCTGTCCCCGCTGGAGCAAAGGGATTTAGGCCACCACCTGCGCAGCCCTGCCTAGGCTTGACCTCAGCTTCCAGCGTTATAAACCCGAACTGCTGCTGACATCTCTGCGTGAGGATTTTATGGGGGAGGGTAGAGCACAGAGCTTCACAGGCTGGCTACCAGCCGGAGGCCCGGCAGGGGTGGGCCACCCAGGTCCCCCGAGGGTCACCTGGGTCAAGGATCTGCCTGGCCTCCTGGGGCGGAGGCTGGGCCCTGGCTGGGGCCCAGCTGGCTCCTGACGGCCGGGGAGAACCTGGGGGCTGCCGAGGTAGGCTCAGCCACAAAACCAACAAAAGGGCCTCCCTCCTACACCCTGGGACTCATGAATCATTGGGCCTTTGGGGAAGTGCCAAGGTCATCATGACACAGCAAGAATCTTATCCACCCAAGGGGGAAAGTCAGCCCAGAGATGTCCCTAAAACAGGGGCTAGGACCTCGGGATCATCCCTTGCATAGCCCCAAATCAGCATGAGGCTCGGACACCCATCAAGTCCATGGCCCTTGCGGTCCAGGTGGGGAGACTGAGGTCCAGAGAGGCTAGGGACTCCCCAAGAACCCTGCAGCAAGCCAATTCTGCCCAGGCACACCCCCTGGCCTGTTCTTTCTCCCGCCCCTCCTTTCCTTTCTCCATCCTCTGTGGGGGAGTCCGCTGGCCTGTCCTTGGTCCTATCAGCTGGGGGAGGATGTGACCTGCCAGGCCCAAAGTCCCCCTCCAACACTGGTCTGTAAAGACAAACTTGTATCTTTCATTCCAGAGGGTTACGGTAAGTACCTCTACTCCTTTCCCGGCTGGGCCTGGGCGTAGGAGTCTTGAGCAGGGGGTTGAGGGGCCATACTGGAGGGAGGGAGGGAGCACGTGCACGCAAGAGCGAGCGAGGGCGAGCAGGAGCGAGCAGCTCAAAGCTGCTCAAAGCCTATCGGGTAACTCTGTGAGCCAACATCAGGATGGAGGAGGGGTGGGTAAGCAGGTGAGGAAGGAGGGAGGGACAGAGGCTGGCCCTGTGGGCCCGGCCTGCCCTGGGGCATCTGCTGGCCGCCAGGGCCTCTGCACCTGCTCCTCTCTTTGTACAGAATGGCCCCTGACCATGTGGCTCCACAAACCTCACTCTGAAGGCCCTCCCCATGGGACCTGTGTGCTGGAGGTGGGGGGGGGGGGCGCGCAAGGCGTGGTTTCTGTTTTCTGTCACATGCGCCGCTATGAGCTCTTATTCGGCCACTAACTCCCCTTGGGCCCCTTCATCCCAGCCCCCAGGCCACACGAAGAAGGCAGGGCCGTGCTCATGCCCGTGCGGGGAGGGCGCTTGATTATGAGGTGACGGACGAACGAGCAGGTGCTGGCACTGAGCGCCTCTGGTGCCGCTCGGCCTCTTTCTCCCAAGGAGAAAGGCATCGGGTGTGGGAGATGTTCTAGGTGCTGCCCGGGCACAGGAGGCCCCTCCCCACCGCCCCAGTCCCCTCGAGCAGGAGGGCGGGCCGAACAACTCAGGACAAGGGGCAGCATCTCCCCCCGCCCTGCTGTAGTAGCACTTCCCATTTTCACTCTGGAAGCCCCTGGATGTGGCTCTCAGAGCAGAGGAGAGCAAAGGGGAACCCTCCCAATTGCAAAAAAAAGTTGCCCAACCCCAAGCTGGCCACAGGCGGAGGTAGTGGAGACTCAGGGAATTGGCTCAGCTCCAGGTTCCTTGGCGTCTGTTTCAAAAGCCTTCGTTTGCTATGTGGAAACACCGAGGTTCAGGGAGGAGGACCCTTGCCGGTCACACGGCAAGCTTGGGTGCCCTCAATAAAGCACCTAAATGGGGAGAGCCTGGAGTCACAAGCCATTGATTGCAGCGTGGGGTCCGCTGGCAAAGCTTCCTGTGACAGGCTGGTGTGCGGACAGGAGCAGGAAGAGGAAGGATCCTGAGCAGCTTTCTGCTCCAACCTGTTTCTTGAAAGAAGAGCCTGATGGTCAGAGTCCTGGGTGTGAAGGTCTGTAGCCGATACAGGTACGGCTCCCTGAAGGACAACGTGCTAGGGCCAGGGTAGAGGCCAAGGCTGCTCCCTGCCACCCCACGTCCCTGGGTCCCCCTACTCCTGGGGTTATGGAGTCAAAGGACAGGGCTCGAGGTGGCCTGCTGTCCCCCACCTCTGGCGGAGCCCTCCCCCTCCCCCGCAGCACTGTGTCCTGTCCTCCCTTCCTGAGTTCTGATCAGAATCATAAAAGCTGGCAAGGAGAGGCTCTGCATATGATACATGAACAAAGAACCAAGTTCTTCCAGAGCTAAGGGGACCTTGACATGGAAGGACAGAGAGACAACGTGTACCCTGTCAAAGTCAGCTACTTTGTTAGAATTTCTGCTTGAGATTGTACAATCAGTTACTGGCACAGCCATGGTTAGCAGGTGTTGGGTCTGGCCCAGGAGGAAAGCGAAGAGAGATTGAATTTACTTGGAGATGAGACCCCGGCAGCTCACCTTGCCACCTGGCAGATCTGGTTTCCACATGGCGCCTGGTGGGGTGCTTTAGTCTGGGGGGGGCCGTCACGGCTCCACTAGGCACCCCACCCCGCCCCCTCCATCATGTCCAGTTCACGTGCTATACCTCTGCCTTTGACCTTTCGGACCAAAATGGCAGTTCCACAGGTGATATGATGGCCTGGGGGCGGATGGGTCACAGCTCCTCAGCAGGCCTTGGAAGGAAGCCCAAGTGTCCCCCCCCTCCCCCCAGGACACTTGTAGAGGGAGACAAGATGGAACTCGGGCCTCAGATCCTGCCTTTGGAACTAACTGTGTGACATTTGTCAAGTCCCAAAGAGGTGGGAAAAACATCCAAAATGAAAAGCCTCCCCTGTCTGCAGCTCAGTTTTCCCTGTGAAGAAGTCCTACCAGTCTTTAAGGTCCTCTGGCTCCAGGACACGGGTCTATAGTCAATGGCTGCGCACGGATTTCAGAACCGCCTGGCAGTGGGTGTATACCTAGTGGCACTGGGGTGACAGTGGCACCCAGGCAGGAGCAAGAGGGTGGGCCCAAGGGAGCGGAGCCCCTGGGGCCCCACGACAATGAGTTGGGAAAGCCCAAGCACCCAGCAGGAAGGGACCTGAGGCAATGTCACACTCTGAGCCTGTTTAAGATGCGGGGCCCGCGGGGCGACTCACCGATGCACCCATGATGATGAAGATATGTGTATCGGATCGATGGAAAGCGTTGCCCTGGTACAGCTCTTCCCGCAGGATGCCGCACACCTGGGTCCGGCTCAGGGCCACCTGCTCTGCCATGATGCTCTCTGATTAAAGAAAGGCTCTTTGAGAAGGCCCAAGAACAGAAGAGATTTGAGAAGTGGGCCCCCTTCTGGAGGGGTCCTTTGGGAGCTCACCCAGCGACGCCTGATTATTGAAACCACTCAAGTGAATGGCCGGGGAACAGGATGGCTGGGGCGTTAGAAACTGCAGGTTCTGGGCTCCCACCGCACTATCCAGGCAACTTTTTTTCACGACCTACTTTACAAAATCACTCAAGCACCGGTGGGTTCCAGCAAGAGCCTCGATGCTGCGGGACTACGTAAAACCGCTGGAGCGCTGCATAACCTGCCTAGAACCAATTCACCCCGGACTCCAGCGGAAACTCCACAAGGAGCGGGAGCGTGTTAGACCACGCAGACGACAGAGTGTGGCTCCAGCGCTCCTCCTGCCGAGCTGGGAGACGCCGGCAAGTCGCCGCCCATCTCGGGGTCTCTATCTCCTCAGGAGTTCCACGGAGGGATGCAGGAAACTTTGGGACCAGTTAAACCCTCTCGATTCGGCCCCGCTCCCAAGCATGGCAAATCAAAGGGCCTCGCGGCACAGCACGCTCCTCCGCTGGCGCGGCGCCTGGCCACTACGGTACCTGCGTCTCGCCGCCGTCGAACGCCGTGCTCCGAGCCCCCGAGTCCCAGGCCGTTTCCGGGGGCTGTGCCCCGCCGGCTCATTTAACCAGCGGGGGCGGGCGCCTAATCTGAGCTGACCGGCCTCAGGCGACGCGCGTGGGCGGGGCCTCAGAGGGCCCCTCCCTCCATGGGCGGGGCGGAACACGGGCGCCGGGAGGTGCGTGCGCATCCCACGCTTGGGGGGGGGGGGGGGGCCCGCCCCCNGGGGGGGGGGGGGGGAGCCCGCCCCCGCCTCGCTAAGCTCCCGCCCTTCGCCTGCCCCGCCCCTTGGGCACCTGCGCGGGCCGCCCGGCCGTGTGGCGCCTTCTGTCCCTGCCGCCGCTGCGCCGCGTCCTCGTTGCCTCGCGGGTCCGCGTGCGGCTCTGCGCCGTCCGCCCGCGTACCCATCGTTGGTTCGGCTGAGTCCTACAGTCCAGCTTTTTCGCCCGTCCCGGGCGGCCCAGCACCCTCGCGGAGGGGCCCACTTCCGCCGGCAGTGTGGCCACACCTCCTTGACCCTGTTCCAGGGCGGGACCTTCTGCAGCCAGTAGGCCCCCTATAAGCTCCTCCCCCGGCGGGGGCGGGACGGCCCAGCGCCCGGAGGCTGGAGGCCACCGTCCGAGAGACGAGGGCGAGAGTGGGTCGCGATGCCCCGAAAAGTACCACGTGCTGCATATCATTGGGAGGGTCCTGTACGCCGGCCAAAGCTGTCGGGCTCGGGTTCCCCTCGGGAGCAGCCTCTGCCACATCTCTGCCGGCTCTTGGGAGGGGCGGGGCTTATGTGTTTTACTTCCGGATCTCACAGCTACGACGCCGGAAGCCGGAAGTGTGAATTTCGGCAGCGGGAGAAGGGAAGGGTGACCGCAAAACTCGGACTTTCTCTGAGCGCCGGGGCCCGAGGAGTGCTCGTGGCTCGCCGTTCCTGCCCTTCTCACGTCGGACCGACTCTGCTGACAGGTGCGGTCCTCTTCCCGAAGACAGGGTACTTTTGGTGGGTGTTCCGCTGCCTCCGAGACTTCCCGGACATCCAGGCTTCCCCTTCCTTTTGGGCCCCGGCCCATTTCTGCTGCCTGCTTATAGCGCACCGGCCGAGGCGGGCCGATGCAGGGGCCAGGTTACCTTGGTGGCGAGCGGGACTGTTTCCGCCTCTCCCTCCGCCGCCGTCGAGTCTGACCACACCCCTGCTTCGCGGATAACTATTCTAGTTCCGAGACTATTTCTGTTCATCTAACTTGACTGCGTTGGAGGTTAAGTTCTTTAAAAAGGCCTCAAGTATAGTTTGGCAGCTACGTATCTTACTTCATGTGCCTCACTTTGCAAAACGATTAATGTCCACCTGACCTCAAACCGTTTCTGTGATTTGGGGATGGATGAGCCATCCTGTCATGTTCGAGGAACGGCAAGGAGGCCACCATAGCTAGAGTAGAGTGAAGGGAGAACACTTGGAGGGGAAGCAGTGAGGCACCAGATAGCTCGGGGCTTTGCAGGCCGTTTTAGGGACCTTGGCTTTTACACAAAGAGCAATGAGGAACTGTGGTAGGGAACAGAGTAGACGAGGGACATGATCAGAATTACCTGTTAGGCCAATCTGGCTCCTGTGAGAACAAATTATAGGGGACAGGGGGTAGAAGCGGGAGGTTATCGCAGTAATCCAGGTGAGAGATGGTGGGGCTTTGAGCATTTTATTATGAAAAATTTCAAAGATGTACAAAAGTAGAAAGAATAGTGTAGTAAATTCCATGTACTCACCTCCCAGCTTTGATAGTTGTCAACTCATGGCTTCTTTTGTTTAAACATTTTTTTTACATTTATGTATTTTTGAGAGACAGAGACAGAGTACAAGTGGGGGAGGGGCAGAGAGAGAACGAGACACGGAGTCAAAAGCAGGCTCTAAGCTGTCAGCACAGACCTGACGTGGGGCTCGAACTCACAAACTGTGAGATGATGACCCGAGCCGAAGTCGGGCGGGTGCTCATCTGACTGAGCCACCCAGGCGCCCCCATGGCTACATTTGTTTAATTCATACTTCTCACTCATCTCTCATCATTATTATTTTCCAATAATGGCCTTGAGACAATTCTCATACCATGCAGTTCACCCATTTGAAACATACAGTTCCCTAGTTTATAGTATATCCAGAGTAGTGCAAGCGTAACCACTCTCGTTCCAGAACATTTTCATGACTCCAGAAAACCCCCGCACCTTGTTAGCTAGCACCTTCATCACCCCATATCTCCTAGGTCTTAAGCATCCACCAATCTTTCTTTCTCTACGGATTTGCCTGTTCTGGACATTTCCCATAAATGGAATCACACGCCGTGTGGTCTTTTGTGAGTTGCTTCTTTTGGTGTAATGTTTGCAAGACTTGTCCATTTTTTGGCATGTGAATGTACTGGATTTTGTTTACTTATCAGCTGACGGACATTTGGGTCATTTTCACTCTTTGGCTATTGTGAGTAATCCTGCTGGGAGCATTTGCATGTGTGCACGTGTTTTTGTTTCTCCCAGGGAGATAGATATCTAGCAGTAAATTCCAGACACTGTATAATTTCACCTGGAAGTATTTCAGCATGCATCTCTAAGAAAGGATGAAAAAGACATAAACACAATACCACCATCACACCTACAATAGTGACCATTAATTGCTCAGTGTCAGCAAGTAGATTCTGGGATACATTTTGACAGGATTTCCTGACGTGTTAGATGTGAGCTGTGAGATGCGGGAGTCCAGAGGGGCTCCAAGGTTTCTGTCCTGGTGGCCAGAGGATGGATTTGCCATTTGCTGAGCATCAGGAGAGCTGTGGAGGGAACTGGCTTTTGGGGACTCTCGGGAGTGCAATTTTAAGGTTAGTTTTGAGAGCACTACTAGATAGATACCCAAGTGGAGATGTTGGGTTTGGGCGTCGTCAGCAAGAGCATGGGGGTTAAAGCGAGAGGCTGAATGAACTCTGTGTTGGGGTGCCCGAGGTTAGAGAAGACACCCCAGAACAGAGCTCTGGGGCACCACAACATGACACTGTGGCTTGGAGGGTCCAGTGAAAGAGGCTGAGCTGGAGCAGCCAGTGAGGTAGGAGGAGAACCAGGACAGTGGGCTTTTCTGGAAGCTGAGGGGAGGACTGGTGGCTCAGCGGGGCGTCCGGGAGAGCAACAGCAGCAGCAGCAGCAGCAGCAGCAGCAGCAGGGTATTGGTTGATTCGGTGTTAAAGCCGTCCTCTCTGGTGCAGGCCTGCTCCTGGAAATTGGGATTGGCTTCCTCCTCCAGGCGGCTTGTCTTCTTGGGCAGAATTTATCAGGGCTCCAGGCTAGTGCCGCCCCACGTGGCCGACTCGCCCTCAGCTCCAGGGAACGCTTATGAGGTTCTGAGCAGTGTCCTTGAACCCCCTTTTACTCCATGGCTTAATTTCCCAGAGCTGCTGTGAGAGATGGCCACAAGCCGAGTGGCTGACAACAGCCATTTTTCCTCTCCCAGCTCTGGAGGCCACCTCCCGAGTATCAGGGGCTCTCCAGGGCCACAATCCCTCTGCAGGCTCTAGGGGACAATCCTTCTTACCTCTTCCAGGCATTCCTTGGCTCGTGGCCACATCACTCTCTGCCTTTGTTGTGGTGTGGCCTTCTCTGTGTCTCTCTTCTGTCTCTTATAAGGACATTTGTCATTGGATTTAAGGCCACTCTAATCCAGGATGATCTCATCTCAGGATCCTTCACTTTCTTACATCTGCAAAAAGCCCCTTTTCCAAATAAAGTGAGAACATGTACATACCTTGCTGAGGGCCATCATTCAACCCACTACGCTTGGTAAGGGGCCAACACCTTCATTCCTGCTCGGGGGGGCGGTGTGTGTAGCAGGTAGGGGTCACCGCACACTGACACCTCCTACAAAAACAATCCTCTCCCCAATTTCCACTCTCTGGGGAATTTTTTAAAAAGTTTATTTTGAGAGCGAGCAAGAGCAGGAGAGAGAGGCAGAGAGGGAGACTCCCAGGCAGGGTCCATGCTGTAAGTGGGGCTTGAACTCATGAACCTCGAGATCATGACCTGAGGTGAAATCAAGAGGCTGACGCTCAACCGAGCCAGCCACCCAGGCACCCCTAAATTCTTAATATCAGCTTACAGCGTGCAGATAGGTGCTAGACAGAGTTTAGGACACGTGCTGAACCTTGGCCTTTCAAATCCCTCATGGGGCCTGCACCTCCCTTTGGGATGAAAGTATGTGCCCCGTCTTAGACTGAAAAGCCCCTTGTAGCGCCCTATCACACCCGGTAAAGTGCCGGGCGTTCCACTTAGGGTGTGGCCGCGGAACTCCTGCACAGACCCCGCCCCCTCTCCTGCAAGGTAAGAGAATTCGGCGCGGGTCTCCTGCGACACTTCCGCTGCCTCGCTCCTCCAGATCCTGACTTGTTGGATGAGCAGGCCCCCCTGGAAGAGTCAGCTGTGTGAGATGGTGCAGCCCAGCGGCGGCCCGGCAGGGGACCAGGACGTGCTGGGCGAAGAGTCTTCTCTGGGGAAGCCAGTTATGCCCCACCTACCTTCGGAGCAGGGCACTCCTGAGACCTTCCAACGCTGTCTGGAGGAGAATCAGGAGCTCCGAGGTGAGGGGGATAGCAGGTGTGCGGAGTAACGCGTCAGAGGTCCCAGCCCCGTTGGTGGGGGAGGCTTATTCCCCTCACCTGTGCCTCTGCTTTTACTGGGTCTGGGTTGGGGGAACACCTGAGAGGCAGCTAGTGCTTCAGACTCAGCCACCCTCCCTTTTTATTTCAGGTGGGAATCTCCTGAAAACGGACTCTGAGGTATAGATTAACGTGCAGGACGTTTATTTAGAGTGCGCATACGTAGGACCAATCCTAGAGAAGGGAAGAGAAGGGAAGGACTGGGAAGAAGGAGGGGTGGGCTCGGCGAGAAGCTGCACAGCGGTGCAGGCTGACCCTGCTGGGAGCTCTGGAGCCCAAGCTACGGTCCTGCGTTGTCCCAAGTTGGGCCGACGTGGCCGGCCGGGCCCTTCTGCCGTATCGTGATCCATCACGGAGCACTGGCTATGGTGGGAGTGGTCCCGCGGCTCCCGGGAAGGGGGCGTGGCCCGTCCTGGGGATGAGGCGGGGTCTGACCCGGGGAGGGGGGCGTGGCCCGTCCCGGGAATGAGGCGGGGCCTGCCCGGGGAAGGGGGGCGTGGCCCGTCCCGGGAATGAGGCGGGGCCTGCCCGGGGAAGGGGGCGTGGCCCGTCCCGGGGATGAGGCGGGGCCTGCCCGGGGAAGGGCCTGCGGGCTGCTGTGGGAGAGGGGATTTCTGGTCCCTCCCGCCGGTGCGAGGTGTTAGCCCAGGCCAGGCGGTGGCTCCGGGAGCCAGGCGGTTCCTGTCTTCATCACCGCCCCCACCCGCTCACCTGCCACGTCCTCAGTTACATCGTGGGGCAGCTTCTCCAGGTCCCAGGGGCCTGCACCTTGCTTCTCAGGCAGGGTGGCTGCCCTTGGGTGGGGCGCATTTCAGCCCTGCTGTGTGACAGCACCTGCTCCCCCGCTCCCCGCTGCCTGTAATCACGCTTAGACGTCAAGGGCCTGTCCTGGTGTGACCAGGTGTTGACCAGAATCCCCCGCATCTACCCCTAGATGCCACTTACACTCCTCCAGTTATCACAGTTAACAGTGTCCCTAATGTTGTCAAATGCCTTGCTGTGTTGGGGTCACATAGAGCTGGCAGCCAAGTTGGGGGTGGGGAGACAGCTCACCTGCCACAGCTACATGTGTGGTCTCTGCTGGTCCCCAGGAGGGCGCTCTGGCAGGAGGACGTTGGGGGTGAGTTTGTCAAAGTGGGTGTAGAGGGATTATGGCACCAGTGGCCCCTCACCCACGGAGCTTGGGCTTTAGTAGCAGGTAGAGACCTTGAAGCTGCACGGCCTCCTTCTATGCACCTGACCCATTGTTGCTCAGTGTATTAGCTGCACATGGCATCGCCTCTGCACATTCCTGTTAAATGGGTGCTCTGTGTCAGGTCCTGGGTCAAACCACGGGGCCCTGAAGGTGTCTGCTCCCCAACGGTGCCCCAATTGTGTCTAAGAAGGAGGGGGCAGGGAGAGGGCACAGACTTCCCTTGAATGTTTGAGAAACGTTATGGAAGAAGTTGCATTAACCTAGTTGTAGGAGTGCCTTTCTGTAACATGTCCAGGGGGAGCAAATCCAGAGACAGGAACAGATAAGTGGATGCCAGAGGCTGGGGACAATGGGAAAGGGACTGCCAGTGGATATGGGTTTTTTGGGGGGTGTGGAAATGTTCTGGAACTAGCTAGAGGTGATGGGTGCATAGCTTTGTAAATACATGAAAGCCACTCAATGTATACTTTAAAAGTCACAATGATGAATTTGATGTTATATGAATTTTACCTTGGTAGAAAAAGAAGTTGCGCATGAGTTGAGCCTTAGGTGGGGAATCGAGCAGGGTTGCAACAGGTGGAGGCGGGCGAGTGAGGCTGGAGGCGCTGCAGAGTAGTCACATGGGGATGGAGGAGGGCACGAGGTGGCTCTGGAGCCAGGCTCAGAAGCCACTGTAGTTTGAGTGAAAGAATGTTCCATCAGGAGGCACTAGTTAGCTTGTCAAAGGTTTTCACTGGAAGGTGACAGGAAGCTATTGCCTGTTCCTATCTTTTATGGTTCTGTAGTTGCTAGAACCTTCGCGTGTCACTCATCAGTTTTGTCACCCGTCACTGGCCTTCTGCTGCCTGGGGTGTCCGTGGATGTGTGGCTCTCCTTTCCTCAGCCTCTGCTGCCTGCCTGGCCTTTGCAGATGCTCATCCTTCAGCCTGGTTGGGGGAGAGGGGCTGGCTGTTTCCTGCATGTCTGTTGTGCCCTGGGCACTTCAGTTTTTCATTTGACCCTCCCCACCCTGTGAGTTGGGTGCAGTTATCCCTGTTGAACATGCATGTGAGGACAGCGAGGCTCAGGGAGGCCACCTGCAAACCTGACCCTCCCAGGCTGCAGCTGGTAATGGCACAGGGAGGTTCCCCCTGGCAGCCTTCCCAGAATCCGCAGGCAGGTTAGGATTCCCCGATGCCGAAGACTGTGACTGAGCGCCCCACGGAAGGGGGGTGCAGTGCAGGCGTGCCTGGAACCGGGCCACATTGAAGCTGATGTTTTTAGTATCTTTTTGGGGAAATTTAGGTGCTTGTCATCAGCGTTGTTGATTCTGAAAGCATGATGCAAAATAAGAGGAACCGCTTTGAAGGCGTCTTTGTGTGAGAGGCTGCACCGGGGGTGGGGGGGAGGTGCCAGGACGGGCCGCCCGCCCGCTCTCACGTCTCCTCTGTCTCCTCCACCGCCAGATGCCATCCGACAGAGCAACCAGATGCTTCGGGAGCGCTGTGAGGAGCTGCAGCGTTTCCAAGGCAGCCAGAGGAAGGAGAAAGAGTTCCTCCTGCAGAAGTTCCAGGAAGCCAGGAAACTGGTGGAGAGACTGAGCCTGGAGAAGCTCGACCTGAGGAGGCAGAGGGAGCAGGCCCTGCAGGAGGTGGAGCATCTGAAGAGATGCCAGAAGGTAGCCAGAGGGGCGGGGACGGGGGAGCTCCCGAGGAGCCTGTGACACCAGCCGCCTGTGCTCCGGAAACCACGGGGATGCCAGCGTTCCCAGAGGGCGCCCGGGGTCAGGGGTCCCTGATGCTTCACCAGGACGGCCCCGGAACTCGGCAGAGCCGTCACACTCGTGGTTATGGCTGATATGGCTAATGACAGTGAGAGGATACAGGCTGGAATGAGCAGGGACAGAAGGGGCACAGGGCAGGCTCCGGGAGAGGCCAGGAGTGAGCTTCCAGGTCCCCGGCCAGCGGGGTCGTGGGGCGGTGTGGTCTGTGTCACAGTGACGCGTGACCGTGCGCGCCGGGATGGGGCGGGGGGTGCCGCCGCCGGGGAAGCTTCCCTGAGCGCTGGTGTCCGGGGACTTGAGTGGGGGTCGGTCCTGTGGGCCCGGGGCTCCCGCCTGGCTGACCTCACATCCTCAGTCTCTGCCCCCCGGACGTGAAGCCGGGGCCCCACCAGCAATCACGCTGTCAGCGCAGACGCCCGGCAGGGCCCTCAGGGAAGTGTGCCAGGTCCCTGGGGCCACCATAACAAAGGGCCACAGGCTGGGCGGTTCTAAGATACAGACCTGTACTGCCTCCCAGTCCAGGCGCCAGAAGTGCAAGAGCAAGGTCTGGGCCGGGCCGGTGCCTTCTGGAGTCTGCGTGGGAGAACCTAGGCCAGGCTGCTTTCCCAGCCTCGGCTGTGCCTCCTGTGGCCCGTGGACACGTCGCTCCACGCCTGTCCCTGTGGCCACCTGGGCTTCTCCCCATGTGTCCGTGTGTCTCTCCTCCTCTCATGAAGACGCCAGCATCTGAGAGAAATGCGTCTGGACGTTAGTGACCGTGGTGAGAACAAGTTGAGCTGGGAATTACTGGCAGCAGGGGGAGAGTTGAGCTCCACTGTGATTTGCAGAGGTGACTGGCAACTTAAAGAGCGAGGAGAGTGGAGGGGGAGTGAGCTGGGGGTCAAGCGAAAACTCACACGGCATGGGTCAGCATGAATGCGTGAGGCCAGCTGGCGGTTTCGGACGTTAGCATCGCATCCCGCACAGAGCCTGGCGCTCGGAGGCCCTATCCTTCGCAACGAGTCCATTTCCGAGGAACAACTCTGAAGTCCTTGAGGAAGACTGTCCTGGGTGGTGGGAGGTATGTGGGCGTTTTAGAGGGACAGAGGAAGGATTCACACCTGGAGGCCTCTTAGGAAGTGCTCCTGGTGAGCGGAGGAGGGGGCCCGGGGCCGCTGATGGCTGAACCAGGCAGTCTCGGCCACACCGGGCTTTCCTAGGGAGGCATGCCGATGCAGGGCCGCGTCTCCCCCGGCCGCGGTCCTCAGCCCGTAGTACGGCTTCGTCATGACTTGATTGCATCTGCAAATCAGGTCCCATTCATAGGTCCTGGCGGTTAGGACTAGGACCTGTCAGGGGCTGCCATTCAGCCCATCACAGGCTCGAACAGATGCACTCCTTGCCCTTCGCTAACGGCCTTCAGGGGCCCCTGCCCGCCTGCCCCGGCTCCCGTGACGGGATGTCAGTTTCCCGGCAGGACAGGGCCTGTCCGACAGCTTTGACAAGCCGTCGTACATTGAACAGAGCAAAACCTGAGCATGACCTGAATGCCCATCTCGGGAGAAGCTGGTAGAACAATATGTTGGAACTTTTTTTTTTAAATTTTTTTAATGTTTTATTTATTTCTAGGAGAGAGAGAGAGAGACAGCGTGAGCAGGGGAGGGCCAGAGAGAGAGGGTGTCACAGACTGAAACAGGCTCCAGGCTCTGAGCTGGCAGCCAGCACAGAGCCCGACGCTGGGCTCGAACCCACGAACCGCGAGATCATGACCTGAGCAAAAGTCGGACGCTTAACCGACTAAGCCACCCAGGCGCCCCCGTTGGAACTTTTTTTTAATGGATTTACTGAGATAAAACTCACACACCATGAAAGTCACTTTTTTAAAGTATAGATGCCAGTGGTGTGTTTAGTGTATCTGTAGGGTCTCAGAACCGTTACCACTCGGTTCCCGGTTTGCTCCTCCCCGCCCCCCAGGAGAAACTGCATCCCCATCAGCGCCCCGCCCTCTCCCCGGACCCGGGCCCTCTCGGGTCGCCTTTTCGTCTGCGGGCCTGCCTGTGTCGGGCGTCGCACGACAGTGGAGCCATACGTTGCGCGCGCCTCACCTTTGGTCGCACGTTGTAGCAAGGACGAGCGTGCCGCTCCCTTTCATGGCCGGGTGCCATCCTGCCATCCGCAGACACCACGCTTTGTTTTTCCAACTGTCAGTTCATGAGCATTTGGCTCATTTCCACTCTAGCTGCCGGGAGTCATGCTGCTGTGTATCTGTTTTTTACTTTAAGTTTTATTTCTTTAAGCGATTTCTGCACCATGTGTGGGGCTCCAACTCACGAACTCTGACCAAGCCAGCCGGGAGCCCCCAGTAATGCTGCCGCGAACACTGGGGTGCGGGCATGTGTTTTCATTAGCGGGTAGATTCCTAGCGGCTCCCCCGGTAGTTTGAAGCAAATTCCAGACGCTGTATGATTTCATCTGTAAATATTGCAGTCTGCGTCTGTGAGAGGGCACTTAGAAAGACGTAAGCACAATAGTACCGTCCTCCCTGAAACAGTCCATGTTACTTGCTCAGTGTCAGCAAATAGATCCTGGGATATATTTTGACAGGATTTCCTGACCCGTTAGATGTGAGCCGTGAGATGCGGGAGTCCAGAGGGGCTCCAGGGTTTCTGTCCTGGTGGCCGGAGGACGGATTTGCCATCCGCTGACCATCAGGGGGGCAGTGGGGGGAACTGGTTTTTGAGGACCGTCAGAAGTGCAGTTTAAGAGAGGTTGGTCTTGACAGCACTACTAGATACCCAGGGGGACATTGATGTGACAGGCCGGGTGGCGGGGGTGGGTGGTTTGCACTGTTCAGCAGAGAGACCCTCACTGAAGTGCTTTCTAGTAAGGACCAGAACACTGAGGGGCTGAGCCATATGGGTATCTAGGGAAAGCTTGTTTGGGGGGCATGTGCAAAGATTCTGAGGCAGGGGCATGCCTGTCATTTTCAGGGAGCATCAAACAGGCAAACGTAACTGAGGTTGCGTGGAAGTGGCTGAGGTGTGGGTGGGAGAGTCTTGGGATGCGCTGGTTTTGACAGCTTCGTGGGGCCAATGGGAGGATTTGGGGTTTGACCCGAGTGTGCCAGGGACTGTGGGGCCTGCTGGGCTGGCGTGAGACGTTATTTGGTTTTGTGTAGGTTGTAGAGTGTAGGGAGCTGTTATGGGTTGAATTGTGTCCCCCCAAAACAGATGTCCACATCCTGAACTTTTTATCTCATAATGTGATCTTGTTTGGAAATAGGGTCTTTGTGGAAGTAATAAAGTTACGGGCACCCGGGGGTCTCAGTTGGTTAAGTGTCTGACTGGTTTCTGCATTTATGGGATCGAGCCCCACATTGGGCCCTGTGCTGGCAGCAAGGAGCCTGCTTGGGATTCTCTCTCCCTCTCACTCTCCCTACTCTGCTTGCACAGGCACGTTCTCTCTCTCTTTAAATAAATAAATAAATAAATAAATAAATAAATAGAAAGGGGGCACCTGAGTGGTTCAGTCAATTGAACCGACTTTGGCTCAGGTCACGATCTCGTGGTTCGTGAGTTCGAGCCCCTTGTCGGGCTCTGTGCTGACAGCTTGGAGCCTGGAGCCTGCTTCAGATTCTGTGTCTCCCTCTCTGCCCCTCCCCTGCTCATGCGCATGCGCGCGCTCTCTCTCTCTCTTTCAAAAGTAAAAAAAAAAAAACATTAAAAAATGTTAATAAACAAAAAAAGAATAAAGTTAGGATGTGGTCATGCGAGATCAGGATGGGTCTAAAGCCAAGGATTGCTGTCCTTATCAGAAGAGAAACAGACACACACATCCCGGGAAGACGACCATGGGAAGGGGGAGGCAGAGACGGGCACAGCGCACACTTTCCTGCAGAGCCCCCAGAATGCAGCGGCCCTGCCCACACCTTGCTCCCAGACGTCTGGCCTCCAGAACTGGGGGGCAGTACATTCCTGCTGTCGTAAGCCCCCCCGCTTTGTGATTCTTTATAGAAGACTTGGGAAACGCCTACAGGGCCAGGGGCGGAGCAGGAGGCCAGGTGGAAAGGTGGCTGGCGGCAGCCAACGGGGCTGGCGACGGGCACGCGTGAGGACGCAGGAAGCCGGGGTCTCGGCCGCACTCCTGGTGGAGAAGGGACGAGCCCAGGGCGGGGGCGCGGACGATAAGAGTGGCGGTTGCTACAAAGGGATGGGGATGTGGGGGATGCGGAGGACCAAGGCTGGCCCTGGGCTTGAGCGACCTGAGGTCGCAGGGGACCTGGTGGGGACAGTTGGATGAGGGAGGACGGGCGTCAGGGGGTCTGGACGGCTCTTGAGTTTTGTCCCTGGTGTAAGGCTTCTGGAAACAGCGTCAGTCCATCTCAGCGCTCCTCTGGCGGCCTCGTCCCGTGGCTGGAGCGCCTATTTTGGTGCTGTGTCTTTAGGTCTCCTGTCCGTTGGTGACAAGTCTCAGAGGCCAAGAGGCCCGCTGGGCTCCATCCTCGCTGTCCACTCGCCAGCCTTGCGAGACTCGAGGCGGCCGCGCGGGAGCCTCCACGGGGATGAGGGATTTGGGCATGTGGAGTCCAGCACAGCTGCCTTGCCGGGGTTGGGAAGCTTCTGGAGGCGGGAGAGAACCCCTTAGGTGGCGGCTCAGGGGTCCCAGGGGTGGGCAGTTGGCAAGAAAGCATCGCTGATGGGAAGTGGCTTTTTTTCACACAGCAGTTGGCTGAGGACAAGGCGTCAGTGAAAGCCCAGGTGACGTCCTTGCTGGGAGAGCTCCAGGAGAGCCAGAGTCGCTTGGAGGCCGCCATCAAGGAGCGGCAGGCTTTGGAGGGCAGGTGAGTGGGGAGGGACACCCCCCCCGGGGCTGCTGTCGGGGTGCCTGAAGAGAGCGAGGCACCTTTGGGCCCTCTGGGGGCTTCTTCTGGGAGAGAATGGACTGGAAGTGGTAGAGTGTGAGCACATAGGGTCTCGGGGAACCTGGAGCCCAGCGGGGCTTCTGGGCTCCCAGACCTATGGCTGGAGCTTAGGTGACTTCCTTAGCATGTTGGGGGGACGCTTGGAGCCCCCCCGTGACCCACAGCGATCCTCTAGAAGCACTCCGTGCTCTCACCGCTGAAGTTATGACAGGGACCGGACACGCCCCAGGACCCGCGAGGACAGAAGACACAGGTCGGGGTGAAGGACCCCGTGTCTTGGGCTCCCTCCCTCCCTCCCTTCTGTGACGGGCCCGCTGAGTCCTCTCCCTTCTCCAGCAGTGACAGATGCGTCCCTGGAGACCAAGGGACCTTCTCAGCACTCAGCAGCCTGGGTCTCGTTGGGCACTGGTCACATGGCCCCCTCTGCTGAGCGCTCAGCAAACTCTCTGACCCCCAACGAAGCAGGCGCTCCGCATACACCGCCCGGTCGTGTGAACAGCGCAGGCGCAGGGACCACCTTGTCTGTAGGGAAAGGGTCGTGTAGTTGTCGGGGACCTGCACTGGCCCAGTGCCCGGGGGCTGCTGGAGGGCTGACTTGGCGAGTGGCTCCGCTAACGTGAGCAGCCTGCCCAGGCTGCTCTTTCCTGCAGATGCGGTGCCCGTAGTGCGGTCCTTGGGTCGGGGGTATGGGTGGCTCCCCAGCTCTCGTGCGCCCCAGGTACTGCCCCCCAGGAGGGAAGGTGGGTCCCACTGACAGCAGGTCCAGCTCTCCCAGGGCAGGAGGTCATCAGGGTGCACTGGGTGGTGGCACAGACACCTTCCTAAAGGGAGTGAGGGGGGCGGGCAGGAGCTTTCCAGTGCGAGCCAGACGAGAGAGCACATGAGCGTGCTCCCATCTAGAAAGCAGCCTGTGAGGAAAGGCACCGGAAGGCTGAGCTTGGTGGCCTCTGGCTCGTCACATTCTGGTATTTTCCCCGGTGGACGCTTCTCTCCCTCCTGCTTTCTAAAATCACACGTATCGTTTTTAGGATAGTCTGGTGTCCTTTCTGCCTCTTGTCTCCTGGGTACATAAAAGCAACAGCTGGAGGCAACTTGGGTCCATTAATGACCCCGCACGAATGTTTACTTCAGCAATTCTGGGCTCGTGAGCAATGTCCTTGTGTGTCCCTCTGGATGTGGTTGGGCCCAGAAGTGCTGAGCTGGACAGTGTGGATGCAGGCCCTCGCGCGCATCTCAGGTCACCTGAATGGCCATTTCAAGAGCTTCACTCTTGATGCATGGGGCTGCCCCTTGAGCCCTGGGCCTGTCCTGCTGGGTGGCACTTCCACCCGGTGATGACAGTGTCCCATCACACAGGGCAGTGTGCTGAGAGCATTGGGACGGTGGGACCAATGACCGTCCCTGGTGGCCTCTCCCACCCAGGAGGAGCCACCGTTGCCTCCGCAGACAGGACCGTGCGGGGCCTTGGGCCTGCAGATCTAGGGCGCAGTGTGGACACAGGAGACTGGGGGCTGTGGGGTGATGTGGCTCAGGAGAGGGGGTGCTGGGTCCCCAGTGAGGAGAGGCCATCCAGGCAGGGGTGAGGCTCTGTGCCAGGGGTTTGCATCGGGGACGCAGGCCGAGCCGCTGACAGACTCCTCTTTCCTTGCGCCAAATTGGTTCTGTGCGGACAGGACGTTGCAGGCGCATGTGTGCCCGGGACTCCACCGTCCCGCCGTTGGGGCTTCTCTATGCAGCCGGGAGCTGCCGTGACCTCCCCCTCCCCCATGCCAGGGCCCGGGCCGCCAGCGAGCAGGCCCGGCAGCTGGAGAGCGAGCGGGAGGCGCTGCAGCAGCAGCACAGCGTGCAGGTGGACCAGCTGCGCATGCAGAGCCAGAGCGTGGAGGCCGCGCTGCGCATGGAGCGCCAGGCCGCCTCGGAGGAGAAGTGAGTCCCCCCTCCCCACCCCCTGGCCACGCGGGCCAGGGTCCGTCAGCGGCCTTCTCCCTGGCGAGGAGCCCATCTAGGGACCGTCCCCTAGCGCTGCCACACCCAAACGGTCCACCCTGCTCTGCAGCCCACTGGCGCCGTTGGGTGCACATGCTGGCAGCATCCAGCCTGGGACCCCGCGCGGCTCTCGGCCTCTGAGCCTCCTTGAATCTGGGCCAGTCCTCCCGCCTTTCCGGGCGTTTTGTGAAGCTGACTCTTGCCAAGAGCACAAGACAGCTCTACCGTGTTGCCAACGCTCCTTCTCTTATTTTTAAAAATGGTAGCTTTAAGAGAAAGGGACGTTAAGCCCTTAGTGAAGCCTGTCTCTGAGCTGACGGCCTAACAGGTCCAGAGGTGCCCTGGCCGCCCCCTTTCTGGCCTGTGGCCGTGACGAGGAAGCGGGTGGAGTTGGAGGCCGAGAAGCCTGTGGCCGAGCCAGGATGCCGTGTGTCTCCAGCACAAGCTCCTTTTCCTCAGGCGGAAGCTGGCACAGCTGCAGGTGGCCTACCACCAGCTCTTCCAGGAGTATGACAGCCACGTCAAGAGCAGCGTGGTGAGCAGCGAGAGGAACCGAGTGAGTACGGCCAGGGACGTCCCTGGGACTAAGGCTTGCTCTGCCTTGCTTCCTCTCACTGTGCCCTACGCTCGGGGCCTGTGTCCCCAAACTTAGGGGCATTGGAATTCAACGCCTCGTCTGAAGACTTGACAGAATTGGCTTTTGGGAGGGACACTGGACCTGTCCTAGAGCGCTGTCGAGCTCGCGGTATGACAGTCCAGGGCAGGGTGTGGAGAGACGGGATCCCATGCGCCGTGCTGTGTGCTGCCTATGGGTGACTGGACTGGGCCTCCGTGGGCTGGAACTTGCCTGTCTCCATGACATTTCTCAGAGCCAAGGGAAGCCCTGGGAGTGTGTCCATCCCATGGTTGAAGGCGGCCAGGATCCCTTTTCTGCTTTGTTCCCACCAGACCTGTACTGGGCGCAGTTCCTAGTGAGCACAGTTTAAGAAGGATGTTGTCAAACGTGAATGTACTCAGCGGAGACTTGTCAGGGTAAAGCCTGAAACCGACCATGCAAAGAAGTCGGTTACAAAACTGGTCTTTTGATCTCCAGAAGGAAGGCTTGGTAGTGTGTGTGGCCGTCTGCGTGTACGTATGCACGTGTGTGTGTAACGTGTGTGTGCACGCGTGCAGGGGTAGGGGCCTCTGTGAGGGACCAGCAGACCTTCGAGCAGGTGGTAGAATGGAAGAATCGGTGGGTCTCGGCTTAGTGAGGGCGCGTCGTGGAGAATTAGTGCAGGAGGCCAGCTCAGCGTGGAGGGGTGGCCCTGGGAGGGAGTCTGGCTCTGTCTCTTGAAGGGTTGGAGGAGGGCTGTCCGGCTGGGGATTCTGGGAAGCAAATGTTGCACCAGATGGCCCAGAGTTCCCCCTCTGGCCTCTTGCCTTTCTGTGGCCTCCGTGCACTGACATCTTGTGGTCAGCGTCACTGCAGCACTGGCCAGCCACGGCTGGTCTCTCGTTCCTCTTGGTTCTCATCACCTGGAGTGGCGGCCGGCCTAGTGGCGGCCCGGCCCTGCCCTGCCCTGGGCCGGCTGGGGCTCCCTCAGTCCCCCCTTGCCCGTTTTTAGGGATTGCAGCTGGAGGATCTCAAGCAGCAGCTCCAGCAGGCCGAGGAGGCCCTGGTGGCCAAGCAGGAAGTGATTGACAAGCTGAAGGAGGAGGCTGAGCAGCACAAGATCGTGATGGAGACCGTCCCGGTGCTAAAAGCCCAGGTGAGGGCTCTTCTCCGCGGCCCATGTGCGCCGTCACCTGGTGTCATTTTGCAGTGGCTTCTCGGAAGCCCTCTGCGCCCCTCATGCCATTCCTCGGCCTCTCGGTGCCCTCAGGGGTGACTTTCTCTGTGTCGTGGGCTGTGGGCGGGCGGGAGCTGGCTCTTCCCAGTCCCCCAGCGCGGAGCGTCCAGTGGCCGATCGACAGCGGGCGCGCCCCTCTCTTGGCTCTGCCAGGCGGACATCTACAAGGCCGACTTCCAGGCGGAGCGGCAGGCCCGGGAGAAGCTGGCCGAGAAGAAGGAGCTCCTGCAGGAGCAGCTGGCGCAGCTGCAGCGAGACTACAGCCGGCTCAAGGCCAGCTGCCAGGAGTCCGCCAGGTGGGCCCCTGAGGACTGGGACCAGGCCCGGGGCCGGGCTCTGCAGTGAGCGTGTGACGCGCCGTCGGGTAGGGAGGGCAGGCCCCTCCCTGTTCTTCCCTCCTGTCCCCTCCTCCCGGCCTCTTTCTCCTGCACCGCGCTCCCTTCAGCCTCGTTCTCTTTTCAAAGGATTGAAGATATGAGGAAGCGGCACGTGGAGGTCTCCCAGGCCCCCCTAGCCCCCGCCCCAGGTGAGTGAGCCGTTGGAGGATGGGTGGAGAGGGGGGTGCTAGAGAAAGCCCCGCCCGCCTCCCCAGAGTTACCGTGTGGAGCGCAGCACCCCGTGGGGTGTGAATGGGGAGGGGCCGGTCGTGGTGACCCCAGTGGTCGGACCCAACCGTTCTGACGGGCGTCTGTGCTTTCTGTGTCCTCCCCTCTTTCCCCAGCTCACCCCTCCTTCCACATGGCCCTGCCCAGCCAGAGGAGAAGCCCCCCCGAGGAGCCGCCTGATTTCTGTTGCCCCAAGTGCCAGTATCAGGCCCCGGACATGGACACCCTGCAGATACACGTCATGGAGTGCATCGAGTAGGGCCGCCTGCCGACCAGCGGCCCAGGCCACCCAGCGCACGCTGTCCCGCCCACCCGGTCCTCGGCTCTGGGCTGGCTGACATGGAGCGGGCCACCTGTCTGAGCACCGAGAGCCAGCATGAAGACCTCACGCTTCAGCTCCCCCATCCGCCGGCTTGCCTCATTTAGGGCACCCGCGACCCCGGTTAGGCCCAATGCTCTGCTCTTTTTGTTTGTTCTGTCTGCTTGAACTGCTTGAACACGCCGAGATGGGCAGGAGCCCTGGCTCCCCGGGCACCCAGGCTCCCCTCACAGGTGACACTGCGCTCCGTCCCAGCAGCATGCCGCTGCCACGGTAGGGTCGTGGCCGCGCTTGTGTTGTCACCAGGAATGCTGCAGGGGACAGCCGTGCACATCAGTTACGCATCCCCCTGCGGCAGGCTGTTAGCGGCGGCAGTGAGCATGCGCACATGGGGTGGATGTTGTCGGGGTGCTGCCCCACCTTCCTCGTAGCCTTGTGTCTGTCAGGCGGGGCATGTCCATTAAGGGTGAGCTCGAGCATCTTCGCGGAGCTTGAAGGATTCTTTCCAGGTCTTCTGGGGTTCACGGCTCGTTTGTATTTTTTGCTCGCTTTTCTCCTGGGCCATTAGTCTTCTGTTCCTCAGTTGGTGGGCGTTCTTGGGTCATAAGCGGGATCGGCTCTTGTGTGGGATAGACTCTGCCATGATCTTCTCTTACCCGGACCTTCTCTTACCCCAGCCTGTCGTGGGTCTGAACTTCGTTGCCTTCTGCACTCCCATCTCCACCTGCCCTGCATGGCCTTGGGTTTGCCCTTCTTGTGAGCAGCTCCTGGTCTGACTGGGCGGGGGGGGGGGGCTGCTTCCCACGTGTGTGCTCTTCCCTTCCCTTGCCTCGTACTGCAGCGTGCCTTTGCCACCCCCTCCCCGCAGTGTGTGGCCACCGTATGTGAGCTGTGGTTTCATCATGCTGCACCAGTATGGGACGCTGGCCCCGCACCTGCCCCGAATGCCTGGGCCTTGCGAAGGGAAGCCACTTGGCAGTGACTGGCGGATTGGGAACACCAGAGTTTTTATTGTTGCTTTGTAAGATTCTAGATATTTCCTTGGATGTAAAAGCCATGGGCATTAACCCTGCAGTTGTCAGGAAGGCACGCCAGAAGTGTAGGAAGACTGCCCTGGCCTCCCCAGGCCCCCTCTGCTCTCCCCGGGCTGGGAATGGGATGTTGCCGAAGGGGAGCCTGGGCCAGGGCTTGGGTGGCACGTGCAGGAGCAGGGGCCTCCCCCCACTGCCTGAACCCCAGGTGTCCGATCGTGGCGATTGTGCTTTGGGAAGATGTTAAAGGCCCAGACAGCCCCCCACCCCACCCCCGGCTGCTGCATTCAGTCCCGGCCCTGCGATTTTTCTTTAAGAGCACTTTTAGTTTGGGGGGGGATGTATTAAATTCCCATGGCTACTGTGACAGGTGACTAGCGTGGTGCCTTACAACATCAGGGATTCATTCTTTCGTGGTTCTGGAGGTCGGAAGCCTGAAATCCGGGTGGCAGCAGGGCAGGGAAGTCGGTGCCAGGCCCCTCTCCCAGCTCCTGGTGGTTGCCCTTCTGTTCTCGCTGGCAGACATGTCACTCCGTTCTCTGCCTCCGTGGTTACACGGCCTCTTCCTTTTTCTGGCCGTGTCATCTGTCTCTTACAAGGACACCAGTCTCTGGACGCAGGGCCTGCTTACATCATCCAGAGTGAGCGTGTTTCGAGACCCTTATCTTCATCACACCCACAAAGACTCTTTTTTCCAAGTAAGGTCGTAATCACGAATTCTGGGGGTTACAGCACGCATATATCTTTGGGCCACCACGGAGCCCAGCACAGGGCTGTCTTCTAGCGCACAGATGAGGACAAATGCAGTCGAAGACAGAGGTCTTCAGCACTGGCAGCTCCATCAGAGGGCCTCGTTCCCTGGGTTGATGATGGCTGCAGACACACGTGGCTGGTTGGGTGTGGGGCAGGTCCTTGCAGGCGGGAGCGTAGCTCCCTAAGACGCCTTGTGTCCAGCGGGACACTGCGCCAGGGCCGGCAGACACGGGCGGGGAAAGGAGGGGGGCGTCCAGGGCCCCAGCTACCATCGCAAAGGGCCGGGCTTCCCGCTCTGTCGGGACAGTGAACACAGGCACGGGGAGCCCATCTCTGCCCGGCCCCGGTTTCTGAAAGGCGGTTGAAAGGAAGAGGATGAGCCCCAGGAGTAGTGAGAGAGGCAGATGTTTGCGTCCCGGGGGTGCTGGCAGCGGCGCCCGCACCACCCTGCGGAGCCTTACGGACCTGCCCGCCTGGGCCCTGGAGCAGCCAAGCCCCCTGGTCTGGGTGCAGGACCAGACGTGGGCTAGGAGCCCTTGCTCTTTTGAGGCTCCCCTCCCTGGGGCGCCCGTGCTCCCTGCGGCCTTCCTTCCTGTAGCACCCCATATGGCCAACTGTACGTTACACACGCAGGGGGTGAAAGCACACCGTTCACTTAGAAGGGTGGGGATTCCACTTTCTCCTCTGGCTTTCCTTAGATTTGGCTTCCAGAGTAAGTGGTAAGATCCTTCCTGTGAGGGGAGCGGCCCGCCTACCTGATTAGCTGTGGCCCCTTGACCTTCACAGCCCTGGGTGCGGGAGGTAAAGACCCGGGCCCGAGGCACGTCCTGCCAAAACCCGGATCCTGCCCTGTTGCTCGCGCTTGCTGTGTCGCAGGGTGCAGGTGGGCGCCTGTGCGCAGTCTGGGGGCCGGTGAAGCCAGCACAGCAAGAGTGTGTGCCTCCCTCACTGGTAACTGAAACGCACATTCCAACTTGACAGCAAGTGAGGTCAAATGGCAACAAATGAAGACCTGGGGTGTCCTGCCGGCGGAGCCCGGGCCTGGCCTGGGGGCCGTTTGCAGGATGGAAGCAGCACTTGGGAAGCGTCCTCAGTGCGCTCAGTCGGAAGCGACAGCCAGCCCCCAGCCAGGTGCGCCCAGCGACTCTGGCACCGTGGGGGTGCTCGCCACACCATCCTTTGTAGCTGCCACGGGCTGGTGGCGTGAGACTGTGCTCCCGGGCTGTGTTGTGAACCTCTGGCCACACGGGATGCACTGCAGCCTGTTGATGGCGAACAAGCCAGTAGACAGGATTCTGTACAAAGTGTGGCCCCAGTAAACAAGGAGACGCAGCCGGTGCACACCCAGCTGCCGTTGGGCAGGCTGCGGCTGGTGGGGTGGCCGGTGATGAAGCTTTCCTTTTGTTTTTAGGGGCCTTCCAAGTGCCTCTGCTTTGCATGCATTACGTTGATACACAGAAAATACATGTTACTGCAAAGTCTGCCTGGTGTTAACGCAGTACTGAGGTTTTATCTGTGTTGGTGGCTGAGAAAAGAGCACCCTCTTACACGTCTGCCAGTGAGTTGTCTCAGGGGCTGGTCCGGGGCTGCCGGGGTGCGTCTGCTGGGGCCGCTGTGACGGGCGCCGCAGGCTGGGCACCCGAACAACAGAGACGGACCGTCTCCCAGCTCTGGAAGCCACAAGTGCCACATCCACGGGTTGGGAGGCTCGGTCCCTTCTGGGGGCCGTGAGGGAAGGGCCAGTTCGAGGCCCATCTCCTTGGCGTGGAGGTGGCGGTCTTCTCCCGTGCCTTCGCACGGCCCTCCCTCTGTGCGTGTCCGTTTCCAAATGTCCCCTTTTTATGACACGGTCCTCCTGGCTTGGGGCCCGCCCTCGTGACTTCCTGTAAAGACCGCGTCTCCAAATAAGGTCACGTTCTGAGGTCCTACGGGTGAGGATTGCCACATTTCTTCTCTGGCAGGAGGACACATTTTAACCCACAGCACGTGGGCAGCGCATCCCTGTTGTGTAGGAGGCCTGAGAGGCGAGCGTGCAGCCGAGCCTGCATCATCAGTAGGAAGCCTTCAGTTGCTAGCTGACCACTGACCAGTCCGAAGGGTGACAGGGCTCAGCTGGCTTCCTTGGCCAAGGACCAGGCCCCGCGGCAGGACCCCAGCAGTCGGGACACAGCAGGCAGGCTCTCCCGCAGGTCTCTGCTGAGACCTGGCTGTGGGCTGCTTGATGGGGAGCCCCTGACTTTGCCTCTCTGAGCCCCGGTCACCACGTCCACAAAATGAGAACATCAAAGCTCTGCCTTCCCTTTGAGTAGCTCCTGAGAGCGGGCTGCACTTCACCTCCTCTTCCACAGCGACGGATGGAGAGGAGGAAACCCGATGGGTGGAACCGCGGGGGCTTGGTGGTGGCAGCGAGGCCCGCACACTTTCTCTGTGTTCGCTCCTCTTCTGAAGCCACGGTTAATTTATCCCATAAAGCACATTACCCGAGGATGCGTTTCCCTGGGGTCGGCTAATTATTCTCTGACGTAACGGCTGGATAGGAAGGAGCTGAGCAATATTATTTTTTTAAAAAATTACTTTGCATTTCCGGAGCTCCGTCTATAATACTTTAGTATTATGTTTACTAAACAGACATCATCGGGGTTCCACTCTCTATTTTTTTTCCTTTTCCTCTTTCTCTTCATTCCTTCTCTTTCATTTATTGGAAGTCCTTATGGGAGAAGAAAAATTGCCTGTAGTCCTTCTCACTCATAATCCAAAGCAAGTAGATCTAAATGTAAATTTAAGACAAGATTATTCAAAATGCTTCTTTAAAATTAATTCTTGGGGTGCCTGGGTGGCTCAGTGGGTTAATCGTGCAACTCTTGATCTTGGCTCAGGTCATGATCTCAGGGTTTGTGAGCTCAAGCCCCACATCAGGCTCTTGCACTGACTGCACGGAACCTGCTTGGGATTCGGCCTCTCCTCTCTGCCCCTCCCCTGCTTCTGCTCTCTCTCTCTCAAAATAAACAAATAAACTTAAACCCTAATTCTTGGGGCACCTGGCTGGCTCAGTTGGTAGAGCACACAACTCTTGATCTTGGGGTTGTAGGTTTGAGCCCCACATTGGAGTGTAGAGCTTACAATTATTTAGTATCTATTATGTTGACATTTAGGTATGAAGCGATGTTTCCATTGATGTGGAGGGAAACAAAGGCAGAAGGAAATGACAGAACTCAATTTCCTTGTACCCTGCAGCCCATTGGCAAATACCTGAGGGAGGTACAGCAAAACACTTCTCCAGGAGCTCCCTACTGTCTTCATGCTAATGCTTTGCTAGAGGGCACACACCCCGAGCTTGACAACAGCCAGGCCTCCAAGATCCCCGAGTCTTTAGCACGTAAAAATTTCTTGGGAAACATCCTCTCAATTTTACGTCCCCCAACTCCCAAGGATATAATCAGTCTCTCCTCAGGGTCCTGGGGCAGCTTCCTGCCCTTGGGTCCTGTCCCTGTGCTTCAATAAATCACCATTTTTGCACCAAAGACGTCTCAAGAATTCTTTATAGGCTGTTGGCTCCAAACCCCATGAGCCCCCAACCATCACCCCCAAACCTCATCAACCATGATCTATGTTTTTCTTTTCCTTTTTTTTTTTTCTTTTTGAGGGAGACAGAGAATCCCAAGTAGGCTTCCACGATGCCAGAGCAAAGCCTGATGTGGGGCTCAAATTCATGAATGTCAAGATCATGACCTAGGCCGAAATCGAGTCAGATGCTTAACCAACTCAGGCACCCATGTGCCCCCTCCATGATCTATGTTTATTGAAAGATCAATTTTTTACCAGTGAGTTTACATTTTACAGCAGTAAATTTTTACTTGTGGGCTTAAAGACTCAGTCAACAAGGGGCACCTGGGTGACTCAGCCGGTTAAGTGTCTGACTTTGGCTCAGGGTAGGGTCTCAAGGTTCATGAGTTCAAGCCTTGCATTGGGCTTGCTGTTGTCAGTTCAGAGCCTGCTTCAGATCCTCTGTGTCCCTCTCTCTCTGCCCTTCCCCCATGCGCTCTCTCTCTCTCTCTCTCTCTCTCTCAAAAGTAAAGATTTTTTAAAAGATTCAGTCAGCAATAGGGAACATGAAAACTATGACAGTCTGTGTTTCTGGATGAAGAACTGCTGACTATATTTTTTTACTGTTTTCTTTAATGTTTATTTTTGAGAGGGAGAGAGAGAGAAAGAGCACAAGTTACCGAGGGGCAGAGAGAGAGGGAGACAGAATCTGAGGCAGGCTCCAGGCTCCCAGCTGTCAGCACAGAGCCCGGCACGGGGCTTGAACTTAGACACTGCAAGATCATGACCTGACCCAAAGTGAGATGCTTAACCGACTGAGCCACCCAGGTGCCCCCAGCTACTGTTTAAAATTTAATTGGGTGGGGCGCCTGGGTGGCTTAGTCGGTTCTGTCTGATTTGATTTCAGCTTAGGTCATGATCTCATGGTTGGTGGGATCGAGGCCCACATGGGTCTCTGTGCTGACGGCATGGAGCCTGCTTGGGAATCTTCCTGTCTGCCCCTCCCCTGCTCACACTCCTCCCCGTCAAAATAAATGAACATTAAAAAAAAAATTGCTTTAGGAATAAAGT